CTCCTGGTCTCTTACTTGACGCTATTTTCTGTGCGGTTGTGATTTCCCTAGTGTGGTAGGTTGGTCCAGCAAAAAAGAAAATGATTTATTTCTAAAAATCAAAAAGGTCACAGGTTTGTTTCTCATGACTGCAAGTAATTGTTGAACCATCCTCTAGGCCAGGGGTTAATGAGTTTGCCTCTTTGCTGGTGCATTGCTGTGACCTTCCTGCTCCAATCCATATGAGTTTACTATTAAAACGATAGGGTTAGATTAGACCATTAAAGACACCACCTTGTTTCACTGTTTCTGCCATTTTATAGACAGAACAGTTCATCAAGAAAAAAGCAAGTTAAAGGTCCCCTATTATTCTCTTTTTCATCAATATATTATAGGTCTCAGATATATACAAATCATGTCTCTGAAGTGTTTGGCTCCAAATACCAAACAGATCATGCATTGTAGCATCCCATAATCCCCTCTGTTTCAGCCCTGTTTCAAAAGTGCTGATTCTCTGTCTGTTACTTTAGATGAAAATAAGGAGCCACTCCCCACGCCCCTCTGGGAGGTATTTGGTTAAAAATAACTCAATGGTGCTCTAGGAGGAGATTCAGGTGATAAGGTGGTGGGGGGGGGGGTTACTTTGGTTGGTGATTGGCTAATGGTTACACAAGACAAAAAATCGTTATGACATCATATAGTGGCCAAAATCTGATCAGCTCATTTTCAGACAGGTTTTTATAGAAATGGATCAGGACAAAAAGTGAGTGAATCTTTTTTCCTGAAACCATCAGAATCTCTTTACACAGAGGGGACACATGCTTATGTATAACAGACATGAAAGAGTGGACTTTGCATAATAGGTGAACTTTAAGAAATACAAAAATAAAATTGTGTTTGGCTCATACTCACCGAGAAAACTGCATTTTGGAGCCCAAATGGTATTGGGGTGAGTCTCGCTAAGGCCACAACTTTGAGTCCACTTCCTCCCTCCACCACTCGTATGACAGCACTGAGCTGTTCACTGTTCCCAACTTTGTTCAGCACCCAGTCAGTCAATAGTCGTTTGCACACCAGGTGTGCCATGAAAGTACCTATTAAAACTCCCACCATAACAAGTCCCATGCCCAGCACAAAGCCGTAGAGGTAGCCAGCTGCAACATTAAGAACAATATACCCCCATCCACACGGGAAAGACACGATAATCAAACCAACTATAAACAGCAAGGCTCCGACGAGGCTGTCCAAGCTCTCCACCCAGAGCAGGAGGTCCTTGAGGTATTGGCGAACCAGTGCAACTGACGAGAAGCACACAGCAGTCAGGACGCAGGCCAGCAGGGCACTCTTGAAGCAAAAGGTGGTGATACAGCATGGGTGTCTGAACTCTCCACTGTTGCTGAAGGTCGATCCCCCTGAGTCACAGTTAACCTCAGGGTCTCCATCTGACTTTCCAATGCTGGCCCCTGTCTCATCGAAGGCGCTGCATATCAGTATGTCAATTTTGTCACAGTCATCTGTGGCAGTCCTCTGCAGCCAGCGGTTCAGCTGAATCTCTGCCTTGCCCACTGCATGCTTGACAAGCTTGGTGAAAAGCTGCACAGTCGTGGACCCTGACATTGACATGTTGGCCCTCAAATAAGCTCTGGGGACCAGCAGCAAGGCTCACACAGCTGTGACGTTTGAGATTTCCAGATAGTCTTTACATCCAGGGCAAGTCCATGTCTAGAGTTATCAATGTGTTGAGCTTCAACAGAGGAAAGGGTCTATAAGCATTTAGCAGTGGTAACCCTTTGCATGCAGTGAGACATACACATGAAATCCGTCACTCTCCTTGGCCATTTGATGAATTGTCCAATTTAACAATGTTTATCTTGGGTACACTAGCTGGGCAACGTGCCAGTCCAGTGATTTAAAAGCGCCAGTTTTGTACTCTCGGTGTGAAACCCTCGCCATATTCAGAGTTGTTCTCGGCTCAGGACAGCCGAATGAATGGACGGAGCGAGCTGTCAGTGCAGGAAAACTGAGAGTGAAAAAAAACTCTTCTTTAGACTGAGATGAACAGAAGCGAAATATTGCGAGATCATCAACTTTTAAGACTCCACCAGCATTGCCGTCCAGCTAACGTTAAGGAGTTAGCATTTATCACAGCACGGCTAACTTACTGCTGGCCGTTAGCTAACTAGCTCACTGCCTGAACAAAGTCCACCGTTGCATCTCAGGGACTAAACCACCGTCGCTGGCCTCCTCAAACGCTGCTTCACTCGGACAACAGAGCGACAAACAAGCCGCAGACACCGGATAAGGAAATACAGTTATCTCTTTCTCTGTTTGCTGGCTGTTGTTGTTTCTCCGGTGGCCTTCCTTCTTCCACAGTGGATAGAAACTGCTGCTGTTGACGCGGTTATAAAGCTTTTCATACCGACCACTGTTTGTGTCCCAGAATGCCAAGTGACCCTCTATGTCCACGTGACCGACCGTTTGACGTTCTCGTCCAATCAGAGCGCTACCGCTGTCATCGCGAGATTTCTTTTACAGGGTTCCACGACAAATTGTGTTTGTTTTGGATCAATTATCAATTATGGATGGGGTAGTTTGATGGTGGAGCTTGAGTTTATTGTAACGGCTTTATTTGAGCTTCTTTTGTTGGGTTGTTGGATACGTTATAATCTATAGGCTGCTCGTAATATTCCTCTAAATTATGTACATGTTTAAAGAAGCATACAACTGAATTATTAAGTACATTTGGATGTAAACTACTCCACCAGAAAGTTGCATCAATATGATTTAGTTCCTTTAATAAATATTAAGGAATTAATCAAAAAGGGACAAAAGTAGTAACACTCCCTCTGTATTTGTTTGGTATAATTTATATATTGATATAGACTGAGAGAAAAGTGTTAAAGTTACCAGAGGTGTGTCTGAAAATATTGCAATGCTGTTATTCAAGTAATGCAGTTACTGTTGGGGAAAACATTTCTTCTATTATCGAACACATAAAAGGACAACTCATGTCTTTGGGACTTTGCCTTTTTGGCATAACCCTAATCTATCAGTGCTGCTGTTAGATACTCAAACATATTCAAAATAAAATGCATGTATACACACCAGCACATGTGCAAAACAAAAAAACAAATACATCATCATTACATTTTAATAATAATTTCGTCTGTCAGACATTGCTATCACATGCGTTTCCACTAACAACTACCATTATTATTTAGATTAAATTACTATCGATTATCAATAAGGTAGCAGTGATGGAAGATACTTAGATTGATTGCTTAAGTAGGCTTTACAAATAACACAACATACAATTCACTAAAGACACAAATCCATTAACACACACTTTAATGTAGCTTGCTTTTTGCAGTTCACTATTGACCCATAACAAAGCATCATAAGTTATAATAATTTAAAAGAAAATAGTGTACAATTTATTAACATGGAAAGTATACATAATAAATAATGGCTATGTTATCATATAATTAATATTATTAGCTTATAATTACAAATGTTGTCTAAAGGTTGGGTTGTTTAGAACAAGGCTTCTCGTGGGTTTAGGTTCAATCGTAATCTGCTAAATCATAGCATTCAAATAAATGAGTACAATGTTCCTCTAAAATGTAGTAAAGTAACAAAAAGTGCAAAAAACTAAACAAAGTCCATTCTTTTTAAAATTGTAGGCTATAGGAGCAGTTCATGAATATATTTGTACAACGTTTTACATAAGACAAATAATATGGTCATCAATTATTAACGGAAATCATATCACACACAAAATTGAATTCTACTTGATCAATTTAGAATATTAAATGTGTAGCAGAGTGTGCATTCATATTATCCTGTATTTCTGAGAGCATACAATAAAGTATTAGCCTGGGGGTTATCTCCCTGCTTGGTATGCTCATCATAAATTCATAATGAGGGGAGTGGAGCAGACAGTGCGTGCATTCATGCAAACTGCTCACCGCCTGACTCCCAGCTGTTGGCAAGAGTTTTTTTTGCCTCGGCTTCCTGAAAAGCTTTCATTTTGAAGTAGTACATACGGAGAGATTATACTACACCAAATGTTTATATTTAATTAGTTTTTGCGTTGAGATTGAAGACAGCAGTGCTGTTTTAACACTCCACTAGATGGAACTGTTGCACAGTTTTACAACCAATCCATTTGCAGGGTTTATTCATGAGTTGCATTGATGTATCGGCTACATGTGGAAACATCATGCAGGCTTGACAACAATCTGGTCTGACAAGATCAACAGGTTTAACATCTGAGGGGCAAACTGTTACATAAGTAAAGCTATTTTTTTGTAAGTGCTTCTTTCTCAAGTGTTTTTCTTTCCCTTTATTATTATTTTAAGATTAAAAGTTGTGAACTTGTTTTTGCTATTTGGAATTTTGTGGTTATGTTATGTCAACCACTGTATGTTACCTAACACATTGGTCAACTTAAAGGAGAACATATACATTTAGAAACCCTAAATACATTAAATTAAGTAGGCTAGATGATCAAATATATAAGGCAAAAGAAAAAGAGGAAGAAGAGACTACCTCACATTATTGTTTAACTAAATGTCAAAGTCCAAAGAGGACTTTAACTCAAGCTGAAATTATCTTTTGTCTGGTCTTCATCTTTAAAAAATAAAAAATATATAAATCTTTATAGCTTATAGGATTCCTATTTGGGCATAGCCTTCGTTACATTTGTTGCTGCTAATTTGGCTTTATTCGGTAGATATGTTTGATTCTAGACATATGTTATCTGTCATTAAAAGTACATCTTTCATTTATTGATTTATTTTCCTAAAGTGCGATACTGAAGTTGCATTTGAGTGACATTTCGCTTCCTCACAGTCTATGGTTTGCACTCATCACAACAGCAGCAAGCCGACAGAGCACATGGCAGGAAGTTAAGTGACTTCGCTTTCATAATAAAAGCATACGTATTCAGGAAACGTATCGTTGTTTGTGGCAGTCATGCAAACAATAGCGTCAAAACTATACACAGAAACATGTGTAGCGAAATGAGGGCAGACAAAAACATCTAGAATAGGTTGGTCGTGGTATGGATGTAATAGTGAAAGTGTGATGTGTTAAACCTTAATCCGGAAGTTGTGCCTTTTATTCCGTCTGACTTGACCGCGTTAAACAGTCGCTCTTTTTGACCATTGGCTTTGATCAGATAAGAGGTTCACGCGGACACATTCCCCTGCACTTCTGAAGCTACATTTTGAAAGATGGATTGTTCAGAAGAGGTTCGGGCTGTGTTTGAGGAGCCCACCGCTGAAATGGAGCTAAAAAAGGGGATGTCGATTTTCATTGATGTAAGTAAAACATTTTTTGATCATTATTTCCAATACAAAATGTATTGCATCTTCATAATACAGGACTATATTAGCATTTTTCTGATAACCTAACAATCTAAAGCCTATATTAGCAGAACAAATCAGGGAAAAAAACATTATTCTTTCCAGATCATTTCAAGAAGCATTTTGACTTTTTAAATGTATGTTTTAGTGATTTCAATAGTTACCCGTGGAGGTTTTTTGATCACACAAGTTAAAATGGATCCCTTTTATGCATATTGGGTGCAGAAAAATCCCTTGGTTCATATGATTAATTAATTAGATTTAGCAGACTCTTAATTTAGATTCATCATGTAATGACTTCAAAGGCTGGCCATCCATTTTTACGTCAGTTTTCAAAAACCAAATACCAATTAATGAAGCATAATAGATCTTCTTGGTTTTGACCAAAGCCAGGCTGTTATTCCTTTTCTAAAGCCAAATCTAGCTCAAGTAAGGCAAGTCCTTATATTAAGAACTTTTTTTAACCTACGTTTTTTTAAAGGATGATAAGGATTACCAACACTTGTAGATCTCCCTCACATGATAAGAAATTCAAGATTGAAATAACATATTATATCCATATCACGGCACTGCATTCTGCTTCTGCACCCACCACCTCGTTATATTCCTCCTCATTCCTCCACTCTCTCATTCCTCCACTCTCTCATTCCCTTGAGAAGCTTTGACAGTAAACCTGTTGGCTGCCTGAATGGGAATCAACAGTTATTAAAGGTTGATGGTGTATAACATCAAATGTCTTGCTGATAATGAGCAGTTGCTTTATCTTAGTGAATGAAACCACTGCTTTCCTTTAGAGGCCAGTTTCAACGTCAGATTGTTGCTTCTGTTGTTTTCTTGACATTTCCTATAGCTAGCTCAGCCGGGTGCGTGTCATTTAAACACACACGCTGACTCCAAACAGTCGTTTCATCTTTTAAAAGGTTAGATAAACTGTGTCTCCATGTGTGACCTTCTTCCTTTTTTTCATGTTGTGGTGCTAGATTTTCCATTTTTTGTGATGAGTTACCAGTATAATTAAATCCAATCAGCACACAAAGCTTAATGATTTTCAACAATATAATTCTGCATGAATATCACAATTAATAAAAGAAAAACCCCACATTTAAATATTTAAAAGGGGTCTTTACGATGTGTAAAGCGTAAGATACCTGTCTTTAGACCCTTGCAGCGTAGAAGGACAGCCCTCCTTTCCAAACATGGAAGAAACCTCGGGAAGAGCAATTGAGGATTGGGACAAAATAAATGAAGATATGTATAGATATAGATTTTTGGTTACATTTTATATTAAGGTATACTTATTCACCATCGACTATAGTTGTTAATTAACATAATAATAATAATAGTAATACATGTTATTTATAAAGTGCTTTTCCTGACCTTTCTTGTGGTACTGCTGCCTTATTATGCCCATATTGAGCATATTAAGCCCCAAACTCATGTAGAACAACTTCCTTACAATAAATAAGCACTAATTAGAGGGTTATTATGGAAAAACTCTTAACTGATGGCCTAGTACTGGGAGAATATGGTAATGTGGAATAAGGCATTAATTAGTGTTTTATAATGACTAATAAATAGACAATATGCTGCTAATATGCATGTTAATTAACAACTAGTTGATGGTGAACATGTGTACCTTAATATGAAGTGTTACCATTATTTTTCCCAGAATCAGAATTGTTTTTAGTGTTAGTTTAGTTTACACATACGAGGAATTTGCTTCGGTGCAAGTGATGCATAGAAAGAAAAAAGAATACGTCGTTTGGAAAAAGAAAGAAAAAAAAGTTACTATTATTAAGACAGAATTCACACATATACATGTGTGAAAACTGAGTACAGTAAAAGAGAGAATTACAAATAATATATTCAAAGTGGAGAGATGTGCAGATTTAAAAAGAGGTAGTGTGGAGCTGAAATGTGCAACATGTTGTGCATTTGGTATAATTGATAATTGATAGAGATTACAGATACATGAGATGTGTCAAAAGTACAGAGAAAGAGACTAATAGCAGTTTTTAAGTTGGGGTCAGCAGAATAGGACACAAAGACGGATTAGAAAAAAACAAATGATGTAAGTCAGAACACACAGAGATCTAGAGGAAGGGACAAGGCAAGGCAAGGCAAGTTTATTTATATAGCACCTTTCAACACAAGGCAATTCAAAGTGCTTTACAAAAAACGAAAGACATTAAGAAAATGGCATTTAAAATCAGTCATTAAAAAGAAAAGATAATAAAATAAACATTAAAATAAAAAATACATGGATAAAAGTTACAGTGCAGTTTAAGATGTGAATAGTTCAATTAAAAGCAGCGGCAAAAAGAAAAGGGAAGATAATTTTCCCCCAAGCTATAAATCCAAAGATGAAAGGATGGCGTTTCCAAATGTTAATCTTGCACATTATGCCGTCAGATTTATCGCTAGTGTTAATGTGTATGTGGACTTAAAGACCAATCTTCACAAGTACAAACTCGATAAGAAGCGACAATAGGACGTGCTATTTTGATGTGTTTCGAGCCTTTTAGAGCTGATGTGGTCATCGCCACTTTGCCTTTCATCTTCTCTGGACTCTGGGACAGCACTATCAATAATTTATTGACACACTGCTTTTGAGAGTGGGATCAATGATATACACACACAGACACACACACACGCCCCCATTTATTAAACACACACACATTTATTAATTTTGATGTAAAGATTTTGTTGACGTCTCTCCTTTTCCCCTTTTCTTGTTTCAGATTTTACGGAGAGCTGATAAAAACGGTAAATATGACGCAAAAAGCTTTTAGCAGAAACACACACACACACACACACACACACACACACACACACACACACACACACACACGCACACTCACACACACCAACATACTCACACACACATATCTCTATGTTTTTTAAGCCTTCCTTTCTCGTGTGAGTAAAAAACTATTTTCTCAATTAAATTCTGGTCATGATTTTCTACTAAATCTCTTTCAGTTTCCATGGAAACAGGAAACTGACCATGCCCACTGAGGTTCGGTTTGAGTGCATTCACGAAGAAAAACATAAACAATGTATACCAGCCAGACAGTTTTTATCATGTCCAGCAGTCACACTTAATGACTTATTTTAGCTGGAGGTCTTAATAATATACAGTTTGAACAGTGAGAACACACACAGAAAGAGTTCACATGAACTAAGTTCACATGAACCTTTGTGGGAAAAGTACCGCAGTGTAAATGCACCTATTGAAGATGAGACCACCATTTGATTGTATGACTGACAGTTTGTGTCACCTTCACGTGTGTCGTAAAATATAACCCTGCAGACGCATTCTTTCACACATCATGTAAGGCAGTGGTTCCCAAAGTGGGGGGCGCAGAGGCATGACAGGGGGGGACCAGGAGGAAAAATGGTTATTAAAAAAAAAAGATAAAAGAAAATCATAATTTGAAAAATTATTGATTCGAAAATAATATGATACAGTACAGTACTATTACGTCTGGGTCTCTGTGTTTTATTAAAGCTCGGCTCTGTGTGTGTGTGGAACGAGCCATTTTGTGTGTGTGTGTGCGCGAGAGAGAGAGAGAGAGAGAGAGAGAGAGAGAGAGAGAGAGAGAGAGAGAGAGAGAGAGAGAGAGAGAGAGAGAGAAAGAGAAGAGAGCACACCGGTACTGGAGATCGTTGTTGTTAGCTTCTGGTGCTAGCGAGCTACGCTAACGGATATAAGGAGTTTTTTCAACAACAAGGTGGAGGAGAGTCCTCTTCTGTCAGACTGAGAGTGAACTAAAGGACTCTCTCAGTGTTATCTCAGTGGGTCTCAAACGTTTTGGTCACCATTAATGTAAACAATTATTTCCGAGGCACACGTTTATCATTATAGTTATAAAAAAATAAGAGAATAAATGAAAAACAGGTATGAAATACAGTAAAAAAAGAATAAAGTTTAAAAGGGTGATTTGTAAAATATCCATAAAGAAAAAGTAAATCTGTTTACAGTTCTGTTTCATATGGGTGTTGAGAGATGTATCCATAGATCTCTTCATTTTTCTCTTCAAGTGCACCAGATTGATGCATTTACCTTCAATATTTAAAAATAAATCTTCCCGAGGGAACTTACCCCCGGACCCCCCCTATGTGAGGTCCACACACCACCTAGAAAAATAGCACTTTACTCCTGCTTACACCTATATGCCGTGAGCTGATTATTGAGCCTTCATTGTAACAGTTGCGGGTACATTGTGTATATGCGTGGGGAGTGTTGCAGTAGAAAATTCCACTGTAGTGACCCGTACATTAATGGGAAACCCTACATGTTTGAGCACCCTCTATGAAACGTCAAGCTACCCCACAGCACCCCCAAAATAAATATCTGGCGCCGCCACTGAGCCTGACTTGTGTTGGGGGGGCCCGACTTTTTATTTCTCCAAAGGGGGGGCCTGACAGAAAAAGTTTGAGAACCACTGATGTAACGCATTCACACAGTGACAATGATTGCTGGTATCACACAAATAAACCACATCGTGTTTTTCTTCTGACATTTGACAGAATCTAGCAAAGAAAATCCTCAAGGAGCCAAAAGAGCTTATTAAAACTCATTATTTACGTGCTGTGTGTCTTGTCATGCAGCAAGGTAAAAAGTCATCCCACATTTTTGTTGTTTTTGTTGTGTAAACAGCACTAATATGGCAGGTCCGTTCCAAGATTATTTCTGAGCACATCGAGTGAGTCAGTGCGCCCTTGAGGATGGTGCGTTCTCATTGGTGCATCCCTCTTGCTCACATATGCATGCATGCAACACACACGGAGCATCCTGTGAACATTTTAAGATCAGCCACCTCTAGTCACACAAACAGAATACTGCAGCCAGGAAAAATATTTCCCCTGTGGTCGATGATTTTGCTGCTGAAAAACATGTTGTTTACTTTTACCTCTTCCATATTTCACATAGCTAAAGCCTTTTTATTCTAAGCATGATTGCCTCAAATCATAAAAATTAATCATTGTTAAGGATTTCCATGAAGTTGGTTAAAGCAACACGGTGATCTCTCCCTGTTCTTTACTACAACATTAAAAACAAGAAATAATGTTTCAATGTTTTTGTGTCAATTTAAAGGGACATTGATCAATTTGCTTGATGCTGTATTTTATAATACCCCTGAAGTTTATAAGGGGATGTATCTGGTCTCATGTCAGCCTTTTTTTCTGCTTATCAGGTGGACTTACATTTTTTATTTAACCCTTGTGTGGTGTTCGGGTCAAATTGACCCGATTTCCATTTTCAATGAATAAAAAAAAATATAAGGATATTTTCGTTCAACCTGAAACTCAATGGCCAGGGCTTATTTATTGTGAAGGACATGTGGAATTGTTTTTATTTTTTTCCACTTGTGAAAAAATGCCCAACCGCATTTATGTCCTTCATAAGAGGTTCGGGTCAATCTGACCCGGATACAATACCAGGACAGAGAGACAGAGAAAAACACACAGAAACACACAAACATAATTGTATGCATAGAGAAGCTATTTGATCCTGTTTTCCCTTGATCTTTACCTTTTGTAGTGTGTGTCAGCTAAATGCAATGTAATGTAATGTACACAAAACTATCCTAGAACATTATAAACATTTTAGATCTTCCAGACATTTATAAACATTTCACATTTTCCCGCACTGTCCCCCCTCGCACCTGCACGCCGGAGGAGGGACTAAACAGAGACATAACCTCACATTACAGTGTATAGTGCAGACAGTGTTGCCAACTTGGCGATTTTCCAAACCCTCCGGCTACTTATTTGTGTCAAAAGCGACTAACGACTAATCTAACGATTTATAATGGTGTTATTAGGGACTTTTCTGGTGTTTGGAGACTCACGTATTGTTCTGCAGTTAACGAGCCGCGGGTGCTGCCGTGAGCCCCGCCTCCCTCCCATAGTACAGTTGCCTGGCCGCAGCAGAGCTGCTGCTGCAGTCAGAGCAGAGAGGAGACAACCACACTCCCCCGCGTCGAGACTGGAAATGAATTGCGCATGCGCCAACTGCCAAGCCGTTTGATTGATTGATTGATTGAAAAGTTTATTAACAGCTTGTATATTGGGTACAGTACAGTACAGCTCAAAACATACAATTGTTAAGGGGATGCAGACCAGAGAAAGACTTTCGTCTTGTTTACATCAGGGTCCCCCATTTCCAATTCATCATGTCATTTAAGACATATAAGACATATTTGACATACAGATGGCTTATTTACAATTTACATACAGGTGGTTTTTTTACATACAGATTGCTTGTTTACAATTTTCATTTTAGATTTCGTTCTAATACATCCTAACCGGACATTTAAGACATACCAAGTCTACAGATATACAGTTAGTAACAGAGTCTAAAATGCGAGTATATACATAGATGGGGGGGGGGGAAGCTGTCCATTGAACGACAGGTTGAGATTTGTACCATTACCGGGGCCAGTTTTGCAATGCTCTCCCCCGAAGGTGCTCTTTAAGAGAGGTTTTGAAGGTAAGTATAGTTTTACTTTCCTTTACAGTTGTGGGAAGAGCGTTCCACCTTGATGTGGCATAATTGCGAAACGTGTATACCCCCTTTTTTGTGCCAAATCTGGGTTTCACATGATTTGTGGAGCTCCCTCTGGTGTTATGATCATGGTATTCCTTGACCTTTGGGAAGAATTTTGACATGTACATGGGTACCATAGAGGTGTAGTGGATCTTGTAGACCAGGCCCATTGCAAGTAGCTGTACTCTGTCGTCTACTCTAAGCCATCCTAGGTTGTCAAAGTGGGCAGAGGTGAGGTGGGTTCTAGATGAAAGGTCAAGCAGTAGTCTGACCAGTTTATTTTGCGATGTTTGAAGTTTTATTTTTAGCGCCTTGGAGGTGCTATGGTACCATGACGTGCAAGCATAGTCATAGTACCCTTGAATGAGTGCTCCTGCCAGAGTTTTCAGGGTGTTTTTGTTTACCAGAGAGGAGATCCGGTATAGGAATCTAGTTCTTTGATTGACTTTTTTTATTACATTGGATGCCATTTTGTCACAGGAGAGGTTTGCCTCAAGAATAGATCCTAGGTATGTAATTTCCTTCTTACTTGTGACAATAATGTCAGCCCACTGCAACTGAGAAGTCGTCGGATTTGCTGAGATTATGTTTCGAACCGAAGAGAATGGACTCTGTTTTACCCAGGTGTAATGATAATTTATTATCGGCGAGCCAGGTGCAGATTCTGCCGAGCTCGGAGCTGAGGGTTTTTTCAACCTGCAACCTGTTCCTGTCAGAGACCAGCAGGGCTGAGTCGTCCGCGAACAGGAACAAGTTGCAGTCACATGCTGATGACATGTCATTTACATAAATTAGGAACAGTAACGGACCTAATATGCTTCCTTGTGGAACACCACAGCTCACTGGGAGGGGGGGGGACAGAGTACCGTTTACCTCCACCATCTGTTCTCTCCCCTCCAGGTAGGATTGCATCCAGCTCACCGATAGTTTATCAAAACCAATTGCTTTTAGCTTGTCAATCAGAATGGGGTGATTGACAGTGTCGAAAGCCTTTTGTAGGTCCAGCATCACCATGCCGCAGTACGTGCCCTCGTCCACCTCTTGTTTGATGTGGTCGCTCAAATAAAGAAGGCATGTGTCAGTGGAGTGGGATGTTCTAAAGCCAGATTGAAATTCATAGATTAGTTTCTTTTCCGCGAGGTACTTTTCGACCTGTTCATATACTATTTTTTTCCATGACTTTCGAGATGGAGGTAAGTATAGAAACAGGGCGGTAGTTGCCTGGGTCCAATTTGCTGCCCTTTTTGTGCAGGGGGGTTACTCTTGCAATTTTGAAGTCTTTGGGTACTTTTCCCTGTTTTATGGAGAGGTTAATTATGTGAGCTATGACTGGTGAGATGGCGGTTGCTGAGTCTCTGAGGAATTTGGAGGGGATATTGTCGTGGCCAGTGACCTTGTTAGGTTGGAGGGCGCTCAGTTTAATGAGTACCTCTGCTGTTGTTACCCTTGCTAGACTGAAATCATCTTTGCGTACCCCTAGGTCTTTGTAGTAGGTCATGATGTGATCTACTCCAAAAAGCCCTGAGTGGGAGGGTAATTTATTTACAAGAGTTGTGGCTATGTTTGTGAAAAAAAATGTCAAGTACTTGGCCACATCCAGTTTGTCTGTGATGAGCCTGTTATCTGTCTTTATGTTTAAGTTAGAAAATCTCGTTTTGAGTTTTTTACTGCAGCCAAGCTGGTTATTGAGTAATTTCCAAAGTTCACGGGGTTTATTTTTGTTTTCCTCAGTTTTGACATTGATGAAATTCTTTTTGGCAGTTTTGATCATGGAGCTTACGTCATTTCTTAGTCTGTTTCTTTCAATTTTGAGTTCAGTCACGTGGGCCTGGAGTTCACTGCTCGTGCTTTTGGAAAGCATTGCCTGACTTTTATGAAACTCAGAGCATTTTTTGTCTCTGGTTTTCATGGCGGTCAGTATGCCGGAGTGCATCCACGGCTCAGCGCGATTTTTTACCCTGGTTGTTCTTAGGGGGGCCAAATCATTGAGTATTGCAGAGAATTTGTTTTTGAAACCAAGACATGTTTCTTCAACTTGTGTACCACTGAGCTCATCTGACCAGTCCAGGCTCTCCAGTTCTAGGTTAAAGGCCTCGCTAGAGTAGTTTTTGAGGTCTCTAGATATGACTGTTTTGTGACAGCCGGCCCTTTGTTTTAGCTTTTTGCGGGTACAGAATATCATATAATGATCACTTAACCCGCATGCTATAACCCCTTTACTGGAGATCCTGGACTTGTCAGAGGTCAGAATGAGATCAATGGTAGTTTGTGTTGTTTCACATACCCGGGTGGGTTGGGTGATTAGCTGGCTGAAGCCGTGCAGATCACAAATCCTACTGAAGGACTTGAAGACGGACGTGTCTTTACGTTGCATATCCGTGTTCCAGTCTCCAATAATAATTGTCTCTACATCCCCCACATCAGCCAAACACCCATCTAATGTATCATAAAAGTCACTCTGTTCCGGTGGTCTATAGATTGTCTCGACTATTACAGATTTAGCATTGTCAAAAAGAATTTCAACCCACACAGATTCAATATTAATAATGGATGAGAGTGAGTGGAATGCATTAGAGGAACACGGTGAAGTGGAACAGGAAGACATTTCTGAAGATGAGGATAATGTGGAGGTAAACTCAGAATTTGACAGCGAATTGGAAGATGAACTTGACTCAGAGCCAACTGCTGGAAGACCCCCAGCCAGCCGCTGAAGGACTCCCACATCCAGCTGCTGAAGGACCCCCACAGCCAGCCGCAAGAAGACCCCCACAGCCAGCCGCAAGAAGACTCCCACAGCCAGCGGCTCAAGGACCCCCACAGCCAGCCACAGTAGGAGAAGAGGTGAAGACATACATGTCAAAGAACGGCAGGATTGAATGGTGTTCATCCCCAATAAGTGAGCCCACTCGCTTGTCTGCAAATATAATAAGGATGGTACCCGGGCCAACACGAATGGCAGTGACGCATGTTCATGACATCAAGTCATCATTCAAGCTTTTGATGCCAGACTCAATACAAAACATCATATTGGACATGACCAATCTTGAGAGGAGACGGGTTTTTGGGAAGGAATGGAAAGAGTTGGACATGTGCATGCATACCTTGGCATCCTTATTCTTGCAGGTGTGTATAGGTCAAGAGGGGAGTCCACTGAGAGTCTGTGGGATGCTGAAACAGAGAGAGCCATTTTCAGGGCAACAATGTCTCTTGAGACTTTTCATATTTTTTCAAGGATCGTCAGGTTTGATGATAGGGAGACAAGACCTGCTAGACGACGGAGGGACAAGTTGGCAGCAATCCGCACAGTGTGGGACAAGTGGGTGCAGCGGCTTCCATCCCTCTACAACCCTGGGCCAAATGTTACTGTGGATGAACGGCTTGTGGGTATTGCCCTTTCAGGCAGTACATTCCCTCCAAGCCAGCAAGGTATGGAATAAAAATCTGGACTGCCTGCGATGCTGTATCATCCTATGCATGGAATATGCAAATGTATACAGGGAAGCCAGAGGGAGGAGTGCCTGAGAAAAACCAGGGGGCAAGAGTGGTGCTTGACATGGTGCAGGGCCTCAGTGGCCACAATGTCACCTGCGATAATTTGTTCACATCGCACAGCCTGGCACAAGAACTTCTCAGAAGAAAAGTCACAATGATTGGAACAGTACGAAAAAACAAGACAGAGCTTCCCCCTCATCTTCTAACGGTGAAGAAAAGGCCACTTAATTCCTCTGACTTTGTGTTCACAGACAACACTGCCCTGGTATCCTACATACCAAAAAAGGGCAGAAATGTCATTCTCATGAGCACGTTACACAGAGATGCAAAGATCAGTGGCTGTGAGGACCGTAAGCCAGATATAATACTTGATTACAATGCCACCAAAGGAGGAGTAGATAACTTGGACAAGCTGCTGTCCTGCTACAGCTGCCAAAGAAGGACCTTGAGGTGGCCACTTGTGATATTCTACAACATCCTGGATGTCTCTGCTTACAATGCCTTTGCACTTTGGATGGCAATAAACCCAGAATGGAACCAAAAGAAGCTCCAAAGAAGACGCATTTTTCTGGAGGAGCTTGGCAAGGCACTGGTGACACCTCACATGCAGCGAAGACAACACATGCCCAGGAACCCAGCCTCTGTTGCTATATTGAGGAAGATGGTGGCAACTCCTGCTGCTACACCTGCACGGCCAACACAACCACAACCTGCAGTGCCTGAAGTAAGTTGTGTGTGTGTGTGTGTGTTTTTTCCAGTGTTAGGAGATGTGGTGAAAACAATTTCTGAACTGTTCTAGATTGCACCCTGTGCCGGCAAAAGGAAGTGCTGTGAGGTCTGTGGACCCTCAAAGGACTCCAAGACACAGACTACATGCAGCAACTGCAACAAGTACATCTGTGCTATACACACGAAGAAGTTCTGTACATCATGTGTTTCCTAAACGGACTTGCCCATTGACTCGCATGATGTTCTGCAGCGTTACTTCATCAATATATTTTTCGGATATACTGTATTTTATGAATAGTGACTGTTAATTGTTTTTATTTGCTTTGTGTTTATATCTGTCTCTTTATATTTCACAGCCAAATACTTTTGGATGTGTGGTTCTTGTGTTCCAATTGCTGCTAAATTGCTTTATTTCCTTCAGGGCTTTGATTATTATATGACAGATTAAAAATAATAAACATTAATGAAAACATGTTTCATTTACATTTGTCCTAGAAAAGCATGAGCAAAATGTAAACCTAGTTTTTATTACAGTGTATTTTTTTACATTTGTATCACAAAAAACGATGGACACTTCCATTGTTAAATTTGATCTAGCAAAGAGTATATTCAAAAACTAATCATATATTTCATTTATATTGTTGGGGAATGAGTTAAAGAAAATATATATAAGGAATTGTGCATGTTGAATTTAGTTCTGTATTTTTTTTAAACCCTGAAATATGTCCCGGGTCAATTTGACCCGAACATTACCAAAGGGTGCGAAATGTGAACATAACACAAGGGCATCATTACTCTTTTTACATTATTGAAACATGAAGAGTTACATCTGAGCTACAGCGCTCCTTAAACCTTTTGCCCGCCATGAAAGCTTACATTTCATTGTTATGTCCAACACACGTGCAGAACAAATGAGACTTTTAACTCAAACATCTTTTGTATGTAGCGAATCTATGAAAATGGCCACCTCACCCGATGTCCTAGCACTGTGTTGACAAGTTCCCTTTTGTGCTCCTTCCCCAGATGATGGAAAACTTTCCTTTGATGAGTTCAAATCCTACTTCTCTGACGGAGTCTTGACAGCTGAAGAGTTGCAGGAGCTCTTCCACACGATTGACACTCACAACTCAGAGTAAGTACATTTTTTTGCTTTATTATATTCTTACTTTATTCCATAGAGGTCAGAAGTGAGTTGTGAATAATGGAGGAGATGTAGACACTAGCTGTCAGAGGGAACGATGTATTGATGGAGCCCACATGAGCTGGAGGAACACATCAAATGTTTATTAACAAATTAAAATAGTTAAAATGGTTATGTTTAGTTATGAGACCTTTATATATTGTATTCATATTTCTACTCGTTCACAAAAAGCTTCTACCTTTTTGATTTGTATAAAGATGAGTAGATCTTTCACACACTATTAAACTGGATGTTTGAATGGATGTGAAAAATGACATCAATAGTTTTTCTGTCTTTATTGAATGCAAGTATCCAGGTATCAAGTTTATTCAATGAAATCACAATCTGCAGACAGACATGTTGAGTGGTCTGAAATTGTTGTTACATTGAGAATGAATACTTCGTTTAACAAGTTAGTTGAAAGAAGATCCAAATCAGGATGAAACTTTCCAGCGTTAATGTCATCGAGGCCTGACATATTGATGGAAGTGATGTCTTCTTCATGGAGGATGTGATATGGCGGACATTACATTTCCTCAACACAGACGTAAGTTCTTGCTCAGATAAGGTCATTGTATTTCCCATTTGCAGGTTAAAGATTAAACAAAACTATTACATAAAAAGGCAGTTCATCTAGACAAAGATTTAACTTTAAATTGATCAAATCTACTAATATCTTTCTTCAATATTGTTGAAAAAAAGATTGTTCTGTGTTCATGTCCCTTCTTAATAGAAATCAATCAATGTGACAACAACAACAATTATTTTGTCTGCAACTCCAGCATCGTGCGGCTCCCTCTTCGCCATGCGCTGAAGGTGAAGCTGGAGCCGTCGCTGCCATTCGTTCTCCTGAAAGATGGAGCTACACTTCAGGACATTTACCCTTTGAAACGTGATACAGGCACAGTACCAACAATTGAGTATTTTGATTAGGCCTGCTTCAAGCCTTGAAGGTATTGAGACAATAATTCAGATAGTGTCAAGAACTAGGGAGGATAATATGTTTAATATAAATTGTACAGAAAACAGTTTACCTCTTTTAACAATGTATGCACAAACAGAGTATATGAACAACGGGTTAAACCCCCCATTTGTAATGCATGTATCTAGTCTTCTTAACCCATGGTAGGCCATCAGCAAGCTAACTGGTAATGTGTCATGAAACATAAATATTGTTACTTTACTAGAGGAGTCTCCATGTACAATTGTATTTGTGCTAGCAATGTGTTATAGTTCAAACCGGAGAGACGTGATGTAAGGAATACATATTTATTGTTTACACGTCATATGAATGAAATGATTGCCATGATAATACAAAAGGAGAATGGAATGGTGTTTGGCGATTAGGCCCCGGTTTGCAGGATAATCATTCAGGAGGGAAAGAACCGCTCCGATGAAATCCCCGGGGTCTAGACACTGGTGGTGATGATGAGTAGGTGGGACCGGTCTGAAGAAGGAAGTTTAGCTTTGTCCTGGAGGAGACGGGAGGCGAGAGGGGTGGAGGAGGGTTGCGTGTAGTCACCTGAAATGACAACTGACAGGGAGGAAGAGCAGGTATTTAAGGAATTTAGCCTGTGCAGCAATTGGCTGCTCGTATTTAATGAGAGGGGAAGGGAGCAATAGAGTGACGTGTAAGTGACTCATGTTAGGTCTTCCTTATTGAACTTGCGCTAAAGCTTTCATTTGTAGAACATCTTTTTAAAGAAACAGTTTAATGGAATGGACGTATTGGCTCTTCAGCAGAAACTTTGATAAGGAGAAGGATTTTTATGAAAGTTGCATTTCAAACCATACTGCGCTACTTGAATAAAAACTCAAACAATAAATGTATTTCAATGTGAAACAACATCTAACAGAACCATGTTAGTTCACTTTAAACAGGTGAGTTTATGTTTAAATAAATTTGTCTGTCTTTTTTCCTATGTTTAAACTGAAAATAAACTTAATTTAAAATCATGACTGATCTGTTTGAAGAGAAAATAGGGAATGCAATACAACACACTGCATGGTCGTACACAGAAAAACGACATTTGCATGTTTGCATTCAGACAAAGCAGAAGAGCTTAACCACTGGGCTCATTCTCTGCTTGCAAAGCACTGTTTAACTATTTCAAAGAGAAACAGATTCAACACACCTTTAGTAAATACAGAAAATTATTTGAACACCCTAAAGCGTATATTCATTAAATAATATTGATAAAAGTCAAACAAACCCTTTTTATTATCATACTGCTACTGTTCAGCACCGCAGACGGATGTGGCCGATGCTAAGTGGCTCAATGCTTCTCTGATCAAACATAAAGTTCATATTTTATTCTAAACTAAACTCAGTAGGCATTATCCATTACTCTTATCTTACTCTATCTTGGTTTGCAAGGACTCTCTTTGCCTAACCCATTACTCCCGCCCTTTAACTTTTTTCACACATATGTCAGACTTAAAGATAACTGTCATGATGATGTCAATACAAAGATAATTGAGTTGCATTATGGGAATGAGGTTGTCTTTATGATGACTGAAATATATGAAACTCAAGACTCTGTGTATGTACACGTTGAAACTAAAAGGTGTGACTTGAGCCGAACAATATGTCCTTACTCTAAAAAACGCAATTTAAACGTGTCCTAAAAAGAAGACACATTTAAGTGGATTAGGTTAAATTAATTGAGTTAATTAGAAGTTAAACAAGATTACACCTTAACATCCAGAGGGGTTTGTTGAAAGGCCGCGTATAAACCCTAAATTGTCCAAGGTGGAGTAACATTGGCTCATTTCACACCTTCCTTTCATGGGAAATTGCCCAATTGTATTGAACGTGTCCTCATTGGAATAATTAAACAGTGTTTAAATGAACTCTTTAAGCCACAGCTGAAGGTTTATAAAGACTGCATTTTCTTCTCCCTCCATCACTCGCTACCTTCTTCCGCAAAGACAACATCATCAGATAATCCTCACAACAAAGGTAAGACTTTCCTCTCAGCATTGCATCAAATGATTATTCTTAATTATACTAGGAATTTTCTTCCAAAAGATAACTTTTTTTTAAGGGTGCTTAAAATATTGTATTGAAAAGTTAAAAAGTTAAATTGAAAGCATTTCCAATTTTAATGAATTAAAAACGTGTTTGAATCATCCCAGTGTATGGAAGTAAATCTGTTCTATCTGAATAATTATGCATTGAAATTATGTATCTGGATCTTTTGCCTCTGAATTTCGTTGTTCGAAAACACATTGTTTTCACCTTTTTTTTAATGTTCACAAATTCAGCTGCAAAGATTTAGCTACAAAAAATGTAGATCATCATCCTGGAACCCAAGGAAAAGCAATCGATTGTAGATCAAGTCAAACGCCCAGCCAAATCAAGCTACGCTTATTCACTGCGTTGGTCACGGAAATGGATTTGTGTCTGAATTTTTGCTGCTGAATTTGTGAACATTGAAAAAAAATAGTGAAAACGAGTTGTAGAAAATTCGAACAATGAATTTCAGAGGCAAACAATTCAGATACATAATTTCAATGCACAATTATTAAGTGAAAGACAATGGCTTTCTAATTTCTAAATCAGATGGAACATATTGACTTCCATACCAGTGTTAAGGCTCTTTAGAGTATCTGAATGCAAACATGTGTTTTCTGCGACCACGCAGTGTGTTGTATTTACTTTCCTATTTTATATTTACACAGATGCCATCAGTTATTCATCTTGCTGGGCTCTTGCTTATCAGTGGACTGGTGTTGGTAAGAAAAAGATGATATCATATATATACAGTATATTATTATGATTATCATATATTTACAACACTAAACAATCTCCCCGTCATTGTTTAGTGTTTTTAAACCATTTGTAAATTAAATAAACATTGTTAATTTTCAGTTTATAATATGGTTGAAAAGAAATGGCTGGAGAATTTATTAGATTTAAAAATTAAATATAAACTCACCTGCTGAAAGTAAACGAAAATTGTTCTTTTGCTGTTTACAGATGACATCTGCAGGTCAGTCCTACAAACGTTTTCCTTTTTATTCTTTTTATAATTCAATTCAACGTAAATAAGTATTTCTAATGCATTTTACAGCGTTGTTTTGAGGTGATAAAAAATCACAATTTGAGAGAGGGTTTTCTTGGAGAAAAAAAAAGGCATTTTATTTATAGCTTTCAACAGAAAACATTATTTCACAGAAACATTACACCCCCTCTCTTTCCAGTCACATTTATAGCAGATTGCCCGCCTTCCCAATTCAACCTCATGGTCATGACTCTGGAATGAGAGTGAACAGTTAAACACAGGAATAAACATTGTTTTCTACATCTAACAAAATCGTTTAAATCGTTAAAATTTTTCGTTCCTACCCTCACCTATGGTCATGAAGGATGGGTCATGACCGAAAGAACGAGATCGCGGATACAAGCGGCCGAGATGGGTTTTCTCCGCAGGGTGGCTGGTGTCTCCCTTAGGGATAAGGTGAGAAGTTCGGTCATCAGGGAGGGACTCGGAGTTGAGCCGCTCCTCCTTCGCGTCGAAAGGAGCCAGTTGAGGTGGTTCGGGCACCTAGTTAGGATGCCACCTGGGCGCCTCCCTAGGGAGGTGTTCCAGGCACGTCCAGCTGGGAAGAGACCAAGGGGTAGACCTAGGACCAGGTGGAGGGATTATATCTCTTCGCTGGCCTGGGAGCGCCTTGGGATCCCCCAGTCAGAGCTGGTTGATGTCGCCAGGGAAAAGAAAGTTTGGGGCTCTCTGCTGGAACTGCTACCCCCGCGACCCGACCACGGATAAGCGGGAGAAGATGGATGGATGGATCTAACAAAATCTTCATGGCCTAAATCAATTCATGAACTTGCACAAAATAGTTTAGAAGTTAATTTGCCAACAATAAATCACACATCATCGACCAATTACTTCCCAAACTCCACCTACTCATACCACACTAGAAAATGAGTACTTTGGACTCAAGGTGGCTTCCAGGACTGAACACTTTAATTAATTAAAATCATGATTGTGTGTCTTCAAGACATACATTTTTTAAATAGAAAAGTTAATTTAAGTGCTTAGTATATTTGCCTATGTAACTTCATATTATAAACTTTAAAGAAAATAAAAATGCCTACCTTTCTTTATAAAAAATGTGTTTAGCCAAATGTTAATGAGGGAGTGTGTGCTTCCTCACATTCGTCTTCTTCCTCACTGCAGAGGTGATGTCGACATTAAGAGTTAATATTATCATTCATGGCAAGAAATAAAATCCTCCCTCCACCTTTCCTTCTTTCCACTCAGCTTCTGTTCATGTCTCCCTCTTTAGGTCTCCGTGGCAGACGTTGAAGAGCAGGAATTCTTGAAATCTGTGATTTTATCAAACATCGCAAGCATCACATATGGTGCCTGGATCGGAGGCTATGATGCTATCATGGTGAGTGACTTTACAGATAGATGTGGTTAGTGTTTATAATTATATCTTCTGAGTGTTAAACATTAACAGTTGGAGGATTTAAAGTCAGCCCTTGTGCTAAAATGCCACATTGGGGCATTATTACAAGTAGAAAGTAGAGTATTGATTAAGGTTTTGGTAGCATACTCCCACATTTTAAAACTGGTTTGAATGCATTTTCTATTGAGTTTAATAGTGACTTGCTTTGTTTGTTTTAGCGCAAAATGGATGAGGATTCAACACCTATTTTCATATACTGAGAATGATTGACATATATCATGGATTAACCCTACATCAATGTTTTTGTGCACACTTTGATGAATGAGGATACCTTGCTTAAATCGTTGTTTGTACTCTGGTTTATAGGTTTCCCACACTCCTAATACCACAGCTGTTACCTCCTGTTACTCACGCTGAGTTCCTGCTCAGTTTGACTTGTTGTGCTCTGGGAACAAGTGCAGTTTGGTTGTCTACCTAAAAAGCTTGAGCTCAGCCTGTTGAAAACCTTTTGCATGAGGACAATTGGAAGTGGAGCGACGGCTCTGCCTTCACCTTCGGGTGCTGGGGAAACTGCATGGAGATGCATACTGGTAAAACATTATTATTGTTGTTGTTGACACATTGATTGAAAACGAAATCTTTGTCCAGATGAACTGCCTTTTAATGTTTTTTTTTGTATCTAATCTTTGACTTCCATTTGCCAACAGATGGGAAATACAATGACCTTGGCTGTGATAATTCAATAGCTTACATCTGTGCTCAAGACATGTAATGATGTCCGCCATATCACATCCTTCCTGATGAGGACATCACTTCCACCGAGATGTCAGGCCGCGATGACATTAACGCTGAAAAGTTTAGAATTTAAGGGAATTTGGATCCACTTTGAATTAACTCTGTAAAAGCATTTATTTAAGACAATTACCAGTCTTGAGATTGTTATTGTTTATTGAATAAACTTTACAGGTGGAATTGAAAGTGAAATATAAAACACTTGCATTCAATAAAACAAAAATATAACTGATCTTTTGTATTGTCATTTCTCATATCCTGTATATAAGTCCATGTTAATAGTGTGTACACATAGCCAGCTAGAAGGTTAATAAAAGAGGACTAAAAGTTCATAGCCAGCTTAAAACACTGTTTGCCATCAAAGTTTGGGGGAGAGAAACTCCCACTGGAGGGAATTTGGGGATTTTAGCCTTTGCAGACCATTTACATGCCTAAAGAAAAAGAAAGCAGAATTGGTCCCCTCAAAGAAACTGCTTCCAATGTATTGCTGCACAAAATTGTTTTTTCCAATGGTACTAATTAAAGTAAGTATACTTATACTTAACTAGAAACAGAATCAACTAAAGTTACATTTTCCTGTTTTTCTCGAGTCACTAGGTTGACGTCAGTCAAGCTTACATTTCATAATTGAACCAAATCTTCTACAGTGACGGATGAAGAAATTGTCTTGGTATATTTTGCTGTATGAGATGCTGCTCAGGCGATGTTGAAGCAATAATGTTGCAAACCAACAAGTTAATAGGTGAATTAAGAAACTTAAACTCACTTACCAACTTCCCAGTTGACGCACTTTTGTGGGCAAAATTTGTATTATTACAACAAACACAGGAAAATTATCCTGGCAGAAAAAGTCTATGGTATTTAATTGAATGAATATCACCACTGATTGAATGTGCCTGCAGTCAAAGAGAATAAGATATTACATGGCAACGGTTCATTATCCATAAAAGTATTTGTGAATTATGAGAGTATCTGTCATTTATGTGTCAAACAAGCAAGAGTTGTTAACAATGATGGCGCTATATAACTGTTTAATTATGTCAACAGCATAATTAGATGCACAAGAAGACAGTATGATATTTGCATCTAGAGCTGAACTTAAATTGAACCAAAGCAAACATGTGGCTCTGTGTTCATCTGACAGATAGTAAAGGTGTTAGGAAGTGGGACTTGAATCCTGTATTGATCAACGGATGAGTCAATAAGCTGTGAGGTCTTTCTGGTAACAATTTAAGTTTAGCTGAAGGCGCTCATAATTTACGGTTTGCTTGTGCACCTAATTATGCTGTTGAGATAATGAACTCTTTATATAGCACCGTCACTGTTAACTCTTCTCAGATTGCTTTATTCTTCAAATAAATACAAAAGCAAAGACATTTCATGTAGCTTAAATTCAGTTTAATTTGTGCAGGAAACGTGTTTAATTGCACTTAATTTAATTTTGTTTAATTGCACAAGTGGACTAGCAGAACTCTATACCACTATAATTCATCACGTGTTTCATCCTCTCTTTGTTTTCAGTGCTTTACTTGTGCTTGGTCCATCCACACATCCAAAAAGGCCATGTTCAAACCACACAAGTAAAAGCCTTTCAGCGAGTGGCTCAGTTTCAGTTGCTAACCCCTGGTCTTCCTCCTCTGTGGCTCTATGTGTTTTCTCCTGTTTGGTCTGATTGATCGAGTAAATCCCCAGCCTCCTTCACTGTAACAAGGAATAACGTTTCTCTTAAATCAAGCTATACAGGGGACACTATTTCAATTGTTTTAGCTGTTGTCTTTATTTCTGTGTATTACTTATACACTTTCATGCATGAACGTTCATCACAAACATTTCTGAAGGGTTTCCTGTGAGAGATTCACTGTCTGGACCACCAGTCTCTAGCCCACAAAAAGCAACGTATTGATTTAATTATTCATGATTCATGTTTGATTTCCCGTTTGTCATCATTCAATCATTCACCGAATCATAGACTGTTGAGAAAAAACCGTTTTTACAGGGACGAAAATGTATTAATGTCACCTCTGTTGGTAAAGCAGCGTTCAGTTATTATGCTCCAAATATCTGGAACAAACTCCCAGAAACCTGCAGGTCCGCTGCAACTCTGACTACTTTTAAATCCAGGCTGAAGACTTTTCTTTTTGTCGCTGCTTTTAATTGAACTATTCATATCTTAGACTGCACTGTAACTTTTATCCATGTATTTTTTCTTTTAATGTTTTAAATTTAAACGTAATTAATTTCTCCATGACATTTATGAGAGGGACTGCTCGAAAGTAGGATATTTGGGATATCCATCGTAGCCAGGGTTTACGATCAGTTTTTAGGTGAGTTGTACTGAGGAACAAGTATCACAGCACCGACGGGTGAAAAATAGTGTTTAGGTAACACGGGGTGTTCAGGTAACACTTAAAGACTTTGTTATGGAACGCAAAGCAGAGTAGGGGGCTAGTACACCCTCCTGAGGGTCCGATTGTGGATGTCATGCGAGCAAAACATGGTGAAAACAATCAGTCTAAATTAACAATCGGGACGGAAATGGTCGGATTTCCAAAGGGAGGTTCTGTGAATAAATAAAAAATCAAGAACCGAAATAATTGAACTATTCATATCTTAGACTGCACTGTAACTTCTATCTTTTAATGTTTATTTTATTAGCTTTTCTTTTTAATGACTGATTTTAAATGCCATTTTCTTAATGTCTTTCATTTTTTGTTTTTCTTTGAATGTTTCTTTTATTATCTTTTACTGTTTTTAAATGCCTTTGTCTGAATGTCTTTCATTTTTGTAAAGCACCTTGAATTGCCTGGTGCTGAAAGGTGATATATAAATAAACTTGCCTTGCCTCTGTTAACCTTGGAAACGTTGACATGTGAGGAATTCTCTTTATTAAAATATCTCTCTCATTATTTCTCTCTGCAGCAATGTGGACACCGATGAGCTCTGTGGTAAGTTGATTTATCACCTATATAATAACTTTAAATATCAGTTATAATCTGCACGGTTATAGTTTGTTCTTGCTTTGCCTCACAATGAGAAGCAGCATAGACACAAATGCTATTTGACATTTTTCCCAGCGTAAAATAAGAAGCATGTAAGATGTCACATGACCAAACCCCCACAGGCTGACTGAGGTGTCACATACTGCTGCTTCTACAAAACACCTACAGCCCTGTCCTATCCATTTAACTCACAAAATGTTTATTTTGTTGTGTCTTTCTTGCGTGAAGAGTATTTTTCCCAGCACCTCGGTGAATATGAGAATGTTCTCGGTGCCTTAGAAGACCTGAATATGTGCATACTGAAGGCCATGGACAAGACAAAGAAGGTATGATGATAAAAATGAAAGATAAACTTGCTTTTCTAATTTCTTTATGTCACTGTAGTAATAATAGTTGTATTCATTTATAATCAAGTATCTTCCAGACATACAATGTTGATTGTTTTAATTGGCATGTATCCCCGTGTATGTATACTGAAAGTTAAGCTGCTCACAAAAGTTACATAAGGTACCTGCATTTATTTCATAATAATGCATCATTTCTATTTAAAGTCTACCTTTTAAAAAGGTTTTTAAAAAAGAGCTATGTAAATGTCAATGGAGCAGAGGCAAATCTATAGTGTTAATAGAAGAGTATCGGTTTTAAACCTAAACAAATATAAGTCAGAATTGCAATGGGCAATTATTTATTTTTAACTTGTGTTTGTGTATATAATGGGAGGTTTGAATTTAAGTTTAAAACATCCAAAAGTTGTCAAGATTTTTCACAAAAAGCCAAGATTGGTGATGGCTCTAAGAAAACAAAGGGCTTCAAAGTCATCCTTAGGTTTCAGATGACTAGGAATGTGTGTTTAATGTTTCATGGCATATCATCAAATATTTGTTGGGATATTTGAGTTCTCACCAAAGCGGTGGATTTACTGATCTGCATAGACATCCCTTAGCTACCGTGGCTAACAATAACAGCAGTGCACCATCAGTAAAGCTTCATTGTGCACAACACAAGTAAATGAGTGAACTTTGATAAATGTTAATCTTAAATGTTTCGATCTGTTTTGATTTGATATGATACAGTTTGTGTAAATCAAAAGAAAATGCTACTTGCATCTGTTTAGATCTAATAATACGTTCTCATATCTGTACATTTATACTAATTTAAATCCCTGTGACACACAACCACACTGCTAAGAAGTAAACATCACAATGACATCTCATGCAGTGCACATAATGATAAAAAAGAGATGTTTGATTTTCTCAGTGAGGCTTAAACTCCATGCTGCAAATTTCTCCCAGCATGCTCCTCTGCTTCCTCTGATCTCCCATTAGTCAGATTTCCATTACAGAGCCAAAAAGAACAAGCCAGGGCTCATTCATGCTACTCAGTAACCCCCGAGAACAAAACATGTTGTGATTATTTTTGTGCTCGAAGCCAACGTAGATGAGGTTACCATAGAAATTCTGCTTTTGATCATGATTTGGAAAAAAGCTTTAGGTCGTTCTGATCTTACTGTAGAGATGTAGACGAGTACCTTTTAGATTATCCAAAAGGAGAGGGAAGGGATGACTAAGGCAAGCAGACAGAGATGAAGGTGAGGGTCAGACATAAAAGAGGACTGAAAGGAAATATGATGAGGAGAAATGATGTTAGGATGATAAAGAGAGGTGGCTTATTATTTCTGCAGGGAGAGGCTCTTTTTCTTTCCACCACCCTCGGTTTCTCCGCAGCATCTCATCTGGCACATATGACTGTGAATCTCAAATGGCCACTCATATCTGCACTTACGCAGACACGTCTCACTGTGGCTACTTCAGACACAGAGTGGGAATCAAACCGTTCATTTGCTGATGGTGTTTCTTCATTAGCAAAAAGAGAGGTAACACAATATGACATCCAACTTCAACATCTACAAACTGTGGGTCAAAAGATAAATGGCAACAGCAGATAATGACACGTAATTGAATTAGGAAAGACAGCAGTGAGCGGAGATCAAAACAAATTGTATCAAATAAAACAGGATTTCAAGAGACACACTTACGTATACATGAAGTTACCATTACTATAAATGAGAAACAACTTCCTTTAAATAACTAAAAGAGAGAGAGCGGATCTCTCTTGAAAGGTTTGTGAATCCCCAAACACATGTGCATTCATTTCTGCAAAGGAAATGAAACATTGATAGTTTTGTAATCCTTTTGCAATCTTTCATAAAGACCTCAACTATTGCCAAAATGAAATTGCACCTCAAATAATTTTCTGTTCTCAGAGAAAATAGAAGAGAGTTGGAAGTGAGTCAGCACGGAGAGGAAGCGGAGAAACAGCAGACGCAGCATGAAAGTGTATTGTTAGGTGTTGTCGACCTTACTGTGGACTTTTAAAAGTCTTTGTTCAGCCGTGATGAAGTGCACAGGAAACAGCCAGTCCCACAAATTCGGTTTTTACCATCCACGCACTCTGCAAGCTCACATGACTCAAATGACTCTGCACAAATTGGACAGAAGTGAGGAATTATTGACCAAGGCAATACGTCTGAAATCAAATTACAACATATACACACTCCGCGTATGTCCCCCCGTTCTGTTATAAAACAGTAAGAGACTGTATGCTTCATTTCTCCATTAGCAATTATTGGCTAGCAAGGAGGAGAACAGATGCTGCATTAAAAAGGCTCGAGCATCTCTGTTGAACTGTGTGTGAATGAGTGGATGTCAGGCTGTGGATGTGTGTGTGCATCTGTGAGTTGTTCCTCCTCTTTTTGCATTGGAGAGAGAATTGATGTGAGCTTATTTATGTACATGCTGATGTGGTGAAGGATTGTGAGTGTGCTTTTGTGTCATCAAACATCCGTGCACATGTGCGGGGGAGCTGGAACAAGATTGCGCCTCTAAATCAAAGCCAGGCACGTAAACGTATCTGTGCTGAGACACTCAGGGTTTAATTTTGCACAGATATTCCTGCCAAAGCTATTTACATGCTTTCTATACACAACCTCCCTCATTGTTCCACTCCAAACCATATGAGATCTCAGGTCTTTATCAGCTGCTGTCCTTACAAGTCCCAGTTTATTTTAGTGTAAAGCAAAATAGATACAATAACATAATTACAGCAAACACTGTGTTTGCATGTTAAAATACACATAACATCGGCACCATAGGCATTTTCAGTATGTGTTCAGTGGAGATTTACACATCACTCAATTAAAACAGCTTGCACCAAACAAACACCTGTATTGATGAGTTTGTTGTTTCTAAATAGTTGAAGGTGGTTTCTGCCAACTGTAGCTTAATTTACCAACTGACCATGCTAGCATTAGCTTGATATGCCCATTTTTAAGTAGGGGCAATGCTAACGGGTTATTCATCATCACAAAAAGATATAGCAAGAAAAAAACATATAATACATATACAGTATACAAGATAGTAAACATTATTAAGGGTTAAAAGATTACCACAAGTAAAGTAAGTATTGTATTAATCATGATGATATAAAGTGGCATTTTTATGTTTAAAAAAAAGACACAATATATTTCTATCTAAGAATTGTCATACAATATATATTTTTAGATGTTAGAAGACCAAAAACAGAGCTGAATATTTAAAAGACATTCATTAGGTGGTCAAAAACACGACTCAAAGGCACATTTAGCACAAAATGTGAGGTTTGTGAGACTGGGTGAATGTATAGGATTATAGTCCTGATTAAAGTGTTATTTGAGCAGCATTACACTACCTCCAACAATTAAATAATGTTACCTTTTGTACAACTAGAGATGAAAGATCAGAGATCAGGGCAAAGGCAAAAAAGGCAAAAACATCAGGCAGACCTTAAGCAGTTTAAAAAGACTGTGTGAGGCACACACACACACACACACACACACACACACACACAAACACCCACACACTCACAAAAAGATCACAGGAGGTAACCTGTGCTCCATGGCAGACAGGAGACTGACCTTTCCAATGTTGTCGTGAATGTCACTGAGTGAATGTGCGTTTGTGTGTGTGTGTGTGTGTGTGTGTGTGTGTGTGTGTGTGTGTGTGTGTGTGTGTGTGTGTGTGTGTGTGTGTGTGTGTGTGTGTGTGTGTGTGTGTGTGTGTGTGTGTGTGGTGTGTGTGTGTGTGTGTGTGTGTGTGTGTGTGTGTGGTGTGTTGTGCGTGCGTGTGCCCGAAAGTCATAATGTCAGGGGACCAAACAATACCTGTGAGCGTTTTCTTCTATGCGGCTCTGTAGAAACTAAGGATTTTGTGTATTTTTTATCGAGTTGCAGTTAATAATTCTCTGCACACACTGTTGAATCTTTGATCAGGTGTGGCTGTTGGAAAGACAGATGGGAGAAAACTAATGTATCTAATGATCTGCTCAGTATTCTGGAGAGCCACTCTCTCGCGGAAAGAATCAAGAAGCTGTAATGAATGTGTGTGTGCGCATGTGTTTGAGTGTGTGTGTGTGTGTGTGTGTGTGTGTGTGGTGTGTGTGTGTGTGTGTGTGTGTGTGTGTGTGTGTGTGTGTGTGTGTGTGTGTGTGTGTGTGTGTGTGTGTGTGTGTGTGGTGTGTGTGTTGTGTGTGTGTGTGTGTGTGTGTGTCCTATTCATTGTACTTTTAAAGACAAAGTAATTACCAAAAGCACTGAATTATATTTATTTTCCCATCTTTCTTTCTCTCACACACATAATCATATTCAATCATTAATATATTTATAATCTAACTCCCATTAGCATTATCTCAGTCATTGTTAGTCGAGTGTACAAATGGTCGCTGTGCTCAAAATGTTGGAGCAGGTGCTGCGTGCAAACAGCAGACTGTGTCGTATGGAGCATTGTTCCCTCTCCTTTGATTTGATCCAAAACATCACTCACACCTCCTGCTCCAGTCCGGGCATTACTAATGACGCCTCTCCAAAATGTCATTCTGTTTGATTTTTTTCCCTTCAGATTTCTGAACAAACACAACAGATGTCAAATTAACCATGATTTCCAAAATGACACATTGTGCCTTGGACTGAAATTATCGGTACAGGGGAAATGATGTGGCTTTGATTGAAGTGAAAAACATTTTCACCATAGAACGTGTCAACAGGTTGTCCACCAACACAGATAGCTGTTTGCACCAATCATAAACATGACTCGACACAATAATGTCATATAATTATAGTAATTATATCTATCCTTCAATTAGTGCTTTCAAATTTGCATCTGGGTCTGAAAATAATTGTTTTCCTGCTCAAAATACTATGGAATATTTGCTCATATGATTATATTTTCTAGTTTTTAGTTCCTATTTTATGGTATTTGTTAGAAAAATATCACTCGTCACCGGCTTGGTCTTCAATATCAGGATACATTTAATGGAAGTAGTCATCGCACACAGAGGTTGCGTGCAAATAGTTCCTAGAACAGTGTCCTTGACATGCCTTATATACAAGAATTACAGTCACAATATGCAGAATACCGGTTCAAAGCAGTACTTAGTTCAGATTAGCTAAGGCCTGCGTAAGCAATAAACATGACAGTCATATGCCTATCTCCATAGAGGCTGAATCATCATGTTAATCGTTGTCACATAGCTATCATATGCCTAAAACAGTGTGTCCTGACGCTCTTCTGTAATCATACATCCTGTTACGTACACAGCTACGTAGGGCCTTTGTTATCATGTGCTACTCTGATATTAGAAGAGTACATTCAGTATTTTCCCAACAGTATTTCTTACAGGCGAACTCCACTTTCAAATAGAGGTGGATTCAGGGTTATCTTGAAATGTCTTTGATTACTTCCAGGCACCTAAAGGATGAGCACATTTCAGCCTATAATATACCTAATTTGGACCAATCTTTTTTCAACATGTTATTTGTAAATCCCCAATCTTTATGAAAGTGCAGCACTACTGTATATCGCCTGAATAACCCTTTAAAGCAGGGGTGTCAAACTCAAATACACAGTTGGCCAAAATAAAAAAATGGGTACTAGTCGAGGGCCGAACTGGTTCAATGTTTATTGCAGAACTTATTGAAATGAACTCATTGCACATATTAAACCTGGAACTAACAAAGCTTAAATGATTGCCTATAAAAACAACATTAAATAATCAGTTGCAGTCATTTCTTATGGCTCTATCTGCAGAGTCATTTCTTATGATTACATTTTCCCACAGGCCAACAACAGCTTCAAAAAAACGATTTCCCTCAAAGAAAAAACCAAACATGCCCTGTTGTCGTGAGAGAAAAAGTGCAGAAAGAAACATCCATTGAAACTCAGTTTGCTGCTCTGTGATGCTAGTTCAAGCCAGATACTTGGCATCTCATCTTGGGTGCAAGGTCATCAATGTTTGGGGTCAGGCTCTGAGCGAAGGAACTCCTCAGGATGGAGTGAAGGTGTGCGTGCAATATGCCAGCGGGCCAGATCTAATAGTAATTAAAAATTATCCTGCAGGCCGAAATTAAATCCACCAAGGGCCTGATTTGGCCCCCGGGCCTTGACTTTGACACATGTGCTTTAAAGCAATGCAATCAACATCATTATTATATATCAGTTTAACACATTTGTTTGAGATTATTTGCTACAATGGCAAGGTTGACACACACACAACTATGAGTCAATAATAACATATTTGCTGAATTAGTCTAATGTCTGTATGGAGTCAAAAGAATTTTTACTGAATATTATGCACTCATTAATAGCTCCCCACTCTGCTTGCATGTACATTTTGAGCTGTCATCATCTTCCCTATTGAACCTGCTTTGTGCTTCTGTCTTCTCTTATCTATTTAAAGTGATCAAATACTATATAAGAGGCAGGTTTCAGCTGATAAGAGACTGCAGATTGTTCCTGTCTCCTCTTTTCTCCTCTCCCGCTGCTTATGTAATATTTCCTAGCTGACAGATCTGCTTGGCATCTTCTAATTAGCAGAGGAGGTCTGGGCATTGAGTGACTTTTGATTGCATGTGAAACATCTTTTCTTTTTATCATTCCTCCCACTCTGATTCCTCCACCTCCTTTTCTTCTCCTAATCGACAGGATTATCAGGAGTCCAGCCACCTTGAGCAGTTTGTGACCCGCTTCCTGCTGAAGGAGACAACCAATCAGCTTCACTCACTTCAAAGCTCTCTGGAGTGCGCCATGGAAACCACCGCCGAGCAGACTCGCCAGGAGAAGTAAGAACAAAATCTCACACATACAATTACTCCTTAAAACTTGGACAAATTGTATTGTACAATGGCACCTATAATTACAGCTCTCACATTTAGCCCGACAATTTTGTACAAACAGCACACACTAATTTACGTCCCACATTTAAGATTTAAATGATGCTTTCATCCAAGGTACTGCGCAACAGCAGGTTCATGTCCTTTTAAAAGGTCCTCTTCCAGCTAATTCAGCAATAGTTTTATAGATTTATAATCCTTTATATGTATTTGATCTCCTACCTGTGTGGACATATAAACATAGAATGAGAAATGTATGAATGGATTGTTAAGATTTTAAAGAAATAAACATGGAGGACAAAGAAACTGAAAATAGATATTCACTGCAGTTGTAAATAAATTGGCAAAATATCACAAGAACAACAATAGGACATTTTTTAACTTGATCTATCACACAATGTATTAAAGGTCCCCTATTATACTGTTTTTCATCAATATATTATAGGTCTCAGATATATACAAAACATGTCTCTGAAGTGTTTGGCTCGAAATACCAAACAGATCACCCATAATCCCCTCTGTTTCAGCCCTGTTTCAAAAGAGCTGATTCTCTGTCTGTTACTTTAGATGAAAATAAGGAGCCACTCCCCACATATATATATATATATATGAGATATTTGGTTAAAAAGAACACAATGGTGCTCTAGGAGGAGATTCAGGTGACAAGGTGTGGGGGGGGGGGTTACCTTGGTTGGTTATTGGCTAACGGTTACACAAGCCAAAAAATCGTTATGACATCATAAAGTGGCAAAAATCTGATTAGCTCATATAAATGGATCAGGACAAAAAGAGAGAGAATCTTTTCTCCTGAAACTTTGGGAATCTCTTTACACAGAGGAGACACATGTTTATGTATAAAAGACATGAAAAAGTGGATTTTACATAATAGGTGACCTTTAACTCACTTTGTAAATTAAAGTGAGATTCTAAAATGAACCCACCATGCAGATATTAACAACACTGTCTTCCCTCTAAACTTCGCAGAGCTTTCTCATAATTTCTCGACTCGTTTTGGTTCTTCTATCAACAACTTTACTGTTTTGGTTCCATCTTGGGGATCTCTTTCTCATTTCCTGTCACAGCAGGCAGCTAACAAACAAAGATATCAACTCACTTGGTACTAAGCCAGAATGACATGGAAGATGAGATAGTATCTGATTTACAGGAGCCAGGTGTACACAAACTCCAAATCAATGCTAATGTTTCTCTGTCTGCTGGATGTGTAAAAGGATTTGTTGAACTATAGGGAAAGAGTTAGCACTTACAGTTTTTTTGTTCTAAGACATAAAATATGTCAGCTAAAAACCCTCGAGAAAGTTGAGGCTTTTATGTGTTATAAAAAGGCAGTTTCTATGGTAAATGGCTGAATAGGACACCTAAACATTATCCCGAATAAGTATCCATCTGTAGCTTAGTGGTTGAAGTAATGTGAAGGTGGTGAAGTTCTAACACCCAATGTTAGTTCTTTACTTCTGGCAATTTTTATTTATGCTTAAAAAATCTTGAAAGTGGTGGGAACATTTAGTGCAAATAACATAAATATTTGTTTCGACAGAGCTTATTTTATAAATTCTGAGGTTGTGCGTGTCTGTGTGTGCATTTCTGTGTGTGCGCGTGTGTGTGTATTCCCTGCAGGTAAAGTCAATGTTCATGGTATATGCTATTTAAAGAATGGGGTGATGACGCAATCTCTTTTTTTTTTGCTTCACGTCCCCGGTCTCTGCTTTGAGCAGCAGCTTCCACAGCCGAGTGGTGATTTTCTGCCAATTTCTTACAGTTTTGACATGTTTTTTGGCAAAATGCAGTGTCCCTTTTCTCCCCATGACCATTTTTACACTAAATGATGGGCTTGGATAACATCTTCCGACAGCAACTTCCTTTTCTTTTCTCAAATCCTCTAAATGTTTCTTTCTCTATATTTTCCACTCATGTCATCTCGCAGTGTGACTGTCCCTCGCTCCCAGAGCAGCAGCCTCTCCACCAGCATCCTTTTCAATCACACTTGAATTATTCCCCCGTGCATCTGAATGCAACCACTCTGTTCCTCCAGACATCTAGAGGATGTGGCTGTTTCTCTGGTGGCTCTAAATTGGTTTCTGTGGTCATTTCTTGTATGTGTGAAGAGGACAAAGAGAAGCTGATTTGTAATAATAGGTGCATGGGATTGAACATGCAGCTTTGTATTCATAAGTTGTGCCGTTCACTTCAGAAGGGATATTGCATGTAATACGTTGTTATTTACCCTTTAGATTATTAGGGCCCGAGCACGGAGCGCTAGGACCCAACGGCGTCCTAGCACGAAGTGCGAGGCACCTATTGTTATTGGTGGAATTATTATTTTTCTGCCAGCGTTTCCTGTTTTTGAGGCCTTTAGGACGCTGACAAAGTTGTATAATTTTGCACGGACGCCATGACTGGTGAAAAATACATTATTCTGGAGTCAATGAGTTCAAATTGTCCAACGTGCTCGCTAGCGCCACCTATGAAAAACCCATTCGGAATACATTTACAAAGTCGCACCGTAACTCCAAATGACCTGAAATTTTGCACACATATCCGGGTGGACCTGCTCTACAAATAATCCTCTTGGAACCCTAAACTCCGCCTACATTTTTCTTCTTCTAAATTAGCATAATGTTCAAAACAGTGAAATATTCACTTAAATTTCAATTTTGTTTTTTTTACACTAACTTAGTGTACAGCATCCGTGGAGGGCCATACACATTACCCTAGGAGATGAGCATGTTCAAACGATAAATATTTCCGCCATGAATTAAAACGTACTCGCAAAAAGGCGGGGCATAGAAAAAAATGCTCATAACTCATAGGTTCAGTCTGTCTTGGGAAATATGCACACCAAAGCATTTTCATTTTGGACTATAGGGGGCGCCAAAAACAGCACCAATGTATAACTCAAGGGCAGATGGACTAATTTTTTTTTTTACACGTACTCTCGGGGTGACTACGAACTGAGATTTAAAGTGTCGCAACAAATGCAGAATGTGGGCGTGGCCTATACATTTAAAAAAAATGCGATAGCATAAAATGAGCTTCGGACGCAAAACTTGGGACACACGTCAGAGCCCAGGACCTTTTCGAGAATGTAAAAAAAAAACGTACATTTTCAAAAAAACTGCTCACTAGCGCCCCCTATTGTGTGGTAGTCACATCATTTCTCAGAACTTCACGAATTTTGGCACAGACATTCCTCATGGAATTGCGGACATATTTGTACATACATTCCATTAGCCCCCACCCCCCAAAAGTCGGCCATTATATGTGCATTTTTTATGCATTTTAAGCACATTCTTGCGCACTCCTCCTAGGGGAATGATCGAAAAATTCCAATCCAGGACATGTTCAGCCCCTATCCAATATGATACTTAATTGAGGAGCACATTTTTTGAAAAAATTACTCGTGGAGGTCGTAAGCTAACAGCGAATACACCATTTTTGACGATTTACATGTCGCAAATTACTCCAAACTACTCGGATATAGTTATTCCGATATTCACGAAACGCTGTATACATATTGCTATTATGATTGCACATATATTTCAAATTGCCTTCCATTAGCCCCGCCCCCCAGAAAGTCGGCCATTTTGAAAAATGTGCGTTTTTCAGCCATTTTACGCACGTTCTTGCGAACTCCTCCTAGGGGAATGATCAGAAACATTCCAATGCAGGACAGGTTTAGCCCCTATCCAATATGATACTTAATTGAGGAGCACATTTTTGAAAAATTACTCGTGGAGGTCGTAAGCTAACAGCGAATACACAATTTTTGAAGATTTACATGGCGCAAATTGCTCCAAACTGCTCGCATATAGTTTTTCCAATATTCACGAAACACTGTATACACATTACTATTATGATTGCACACATATTTCAAATTGCCTTCCATTAGCCCCGCTCCCCAAGAAGTTGGCCATTTTCAAAAATGTGCGTTTTTCATGCATTTTAAGCACATTCTTGCGAACTCCTCCTAGGGGAATGATCGGAAAAATTCCAATCCAGGACAAGTTCAGCCCCTATCCAATATGATGCTAAATTGCGAAGAAAATAGTTGCTAGCTCAAACGGGGAGCTCGTAAGCTAACGGAGAATGTACCATTTTTGACGATGTACATGTCACAAATTAATCCAAACTATACTACATTTCCATTTTTGGAAACCTTTACAAAGTGGCACCGTAACTCCAAATGACCTGAAATGTTGCCCACTTATTCGGGTGGACCTACTCTACATATTATGTCCTTGAACCTCAAAGCTCCACCTACTTCATTTTTTTTAAATTAGCATAATGTTAAAAACAGTGAAATATTACCTTACATTTCCATGTTATCTTTTTCAACGCCAAACTTAGTATACAGCATCAGTGGAGGGTCAGACACATTACCGTAGAAAATGAGCATGTTCAGTCGATAAATATGCCCGTCATTAATCTAAATGCGGGGCTTAGAAATAAATGCTCATAACTCCTAAACCACACACACACACACCGGCTCTGCTGGCGGCAAAATCAATTACAACAGACACCTATACACTCCACAACAGACACCTACTGACTGTACAACACACACATACAGCTCCTAAAGCATATAATGTAGATCAGGCTACAGCCCTTGTATATTTTATTATGTGAAGCACGATATGGTTTCATGAAAAATATCTACTGTTTACTTGTAGATATCTACTAAAGCATACAAATAAAGTGTGTAATGTAGGCCTGTTACATATATTATTGATGTTCTCACTGTAAACATCGCGTCACAATGAAAGCGGTTGTATTAAAAAAATAATAGCCTAACATCCAGGGGAAATGTGATTAGTGAGTAAACAAACGGTAAAGGGCAGAAAGTCTGATGCACATTTGATCATCTTGAATAACTTATAATCACAACGGGAACAGTTTGCAGAGCTGTGCTTCGTTGACAGAAGTCCAGCCATGCGTCACGCCTCTTTTAAACATCACTGTTGGCTGAAATCGTCTCAGGAGAATACTTCAGTGTACCCTCGGTTATAGCTCCTCTAGAGACACTCCTCTCTCCTCTAAATCAGTGTATCCTCGGTTATGGCTCCTACAGACAGCCTCCTCGATAATCGATCCTCGACGAGCCTTTAGAGAAATTTGTTTTCCTTCGAGACGGCGCGCCGACATCCGTTTCCGGGTCGCTGCCGGAGGACCTGGGAGTCTGGGACGTGAAAATCATATAATGAGAAACGGCTCATTTCCCAGGACTCGCGCGCGTCTGCTTGACGCCGGGACGACCGGCTGGCCTCCCCGACAGGCGCACGGACGCGAGGGCCCGCTCATCACTGCGCGCACAAGTGCGACCGCAGTTTTAATTATTATTATTATCCATCATTAATTTGCATCATTATTCATATTATTTCAGTAATCACTTTCTGGCTTTGACTCAGTCTCAGTATGCATAAAGGCTTCTGGAGTTACTTGATGATGCATAGGTTGCTGATCTTTGCTCTAATACTGATCTCAGACGGATTATAGTTATTAAAGCCGCTGCAAAGCCAAGAATATAGTATGACTCACTAAAACATCAACAGGGACCAGCCACCGATCCTCCTCCTCCATATAGCATTCATTTCACTGGAGCAATAATTATGCTGCCTGACTACCATATTCGGAAATGAGCATTTAAACATTATTAATACCAATATACTAAATGGTGTCACCTGAATCAACCTGCATTCCTCTTGGGAGAACTATTCTGAATTAGCTGACTGGGTTTTAGACCGATTAATAGTTTACTTACTCTTTATGATATGTAGCCTACTGTTTAGCTTAAACTAAAGGTGCTAAATACAAATGTGTGGATAAAAGCCATGGTTGCAAAATGGTATAGAAGTCTATGAGAAAATGATTTAACTGATTAATAATTCGTAGGCAGATGCTATTTGCACCCGGGTGAGTATAGTGAACAATGTTATTTGACGGTGTTAAAAAAGCCATGTTCTTTAAGGTTTTATTAAATATAACGAATATACAGCCTACATTGCAACATAGGCTACATACAATTATAAAAACCCTCGCTTCACTGCGATAAAGGTATAAATGATATGCACCCTGGTGAGTATAGTAAACAATGCAATAGGCCTCATAAGGATTTGGTGATAAAGGCTGGTGGTTGTTTTTCTGTGTTGAATAGCTGTTTTAATGTTTAATGTTTGTGCTTGACTATTTGCGCAAAACTCACACACACACACACACATATAAACGTGCATGTGCATTCAACTGCGCACTCACATCCTCTCGACACCCTTAGGACTTCTCAAAAATACAGGACTGAACAACTTGACATCACAAAACTAAATCTTAGGTGATGTTTCTCTGCGGCCGCACATACCTTCTTCCTAACATTAGCGTCACTGTCAGACCTCCACCACTTTCAACATCCATTCATGAAACTGTGTGCTTTGGACACCTGGTGCCATCTTGAATTGCTGTACAAAAAGGAAAGACAAATTACAAGTGAGCCGTTACATTTTCACTTTTGAGTTCATACAATGTTTACTTCCTGCTCAGGTTCTTTTCTGTGTCGGTAACAGAGAGTCAGCGGAGACCAAATCAAGTGTCAAGTGTTTTCTGGTACTGGTACTTACTACTCCACTACTTATTTTTCTGACGATTTTTTACTTTTACTTCTTACATTTTCAAAACAGGTTTGTTACTTTAGTTTTAATCTGTGTTTGGTAGCGTGATCATTATTATGTAGAGTCATTGGGTGCCTATTGATTTTAACACGATCCGTGTATCCATCATTTTCTGGTCTTCTCTAAAGAAGAGCGACCAATGAACACGTTGTCATGTTGCTGTTGTTCAGCATGGAAACATCCATTAGCTAACAATTACATTATTGTTCTATTAATATAAAGCAAGGTCAGGTACTCTTTAAAATAGTTGGTAGTTATGGGTACTTTTTACTTAAGTACATTTCGAAGCCCATACTTCTTTACTTCTACGAGTAAAGAAGTTTAGTCAGTACATCTACTTTTACCAGAGTATTTTTAAACACAAGTATCTTTACTTGTGTAAAGATTTTAACTATAATGCAAATGCAACAATGTAAAAAATTGTGTCTATGTCTAAAAATGTTTGATGCCTGATAAATATCTCTGTTGACTCCAGGCAGGGCCCTCTGAAGCCAGAGGTTTTGTCCATCCAGTGGTCGGGTCGCCGCTCCAATCGGAGGCTCCAGAGGAACAGCAGCCTGTCTCCCAACAACCCTCTCCTCAGTCTCGTCAATTCAGGTGGGTTCATATGTTCTGCTGTCTAAAGCTGAGTTTGTAGGAATAAATAATCAGTGCATCCTGTTTAATATTGAAGCGCTACACTCCTGAGTGGTGTTGTCTTGTAGCTGGCCGGGAGGTTAAAAGAGCTGCTCGGTCAGAGTCAGTGTGTCTCCACAGGACAGAGAGCCGAGCACAGGAGGGGGGAGGGAGGTCGTGAAGGTGTGAGAGAGAAACTGGAGTGTGAGACAGAGAGGGAGATTGAAGTGGAGAGTTGTGTTCTCATGTGCTGCTGGGTATAGCTCTAAAGCCTTAAAATGCTTTGGTACTTCCCCTGTGCTGCAGATAGAGGTTAAATGTGATGGAAGACCTCACTCTCAAATCACCGTGTGCTGCGGGTGTGATATGTCATTGTAAGTAAGACATTTATTTCATGACGCATACCAAGAGATGCAGTTTACAGCAAGATCACTCCCTGGCTTGTGATACACATTTGCAGTGTATTTATTGGTGAGTTTGTTTGTCTTGTGATGCAAGCACATATTTCATTTCAATATAAAAGGGAATGATTGGTACGTAAAGGGTCAGGGTTATAAAAAAAAACTTGACTTCAATTATGGTGGATGATGTATTATTAATTATTTGGTGAAGTAGAAGTACACTGATGGTGAGTTATCCAATAATGAATCACAAGTCATATCGAATAATTCCAGCTCTCAGTTTTATGGATAATGTTAAAGTTATGAGTCCAGGAAGAATTATTTGTTAAAGGTCCAAACACACCACACCGACATAAAAGCACAAGCAGCAACACAAAGAGTGACTGTTGCATCACCTGTCTGAGCCAAAAAGTAACACTTATACACACACTTTGACCTAAGAAAACAAGTAAACAAGTCATTACTTTAATAGACCAAACCTTTAGTGTTGTAGCATGTGGGGATTGCCCACAGTATTGAGTGTATTTAAGTAGCTTTGGGTCAAAGTGTCTAACAAGTGACATGTATGTAATACATGTTTCTTTAAAGCTGTTGTCACAATCAATGAGAAGACACATTCACTCTATCATCAGATTCACTTCTTGACCTTTTAACCACAGCTATTCTTTCCAGTGTTTCTATTTTCCCAGCTCCATTATTGTTTGTATTGGCAATTGTTTGCACACAGTCTTTTTTCCATTAACTTCCACTATAACACCAGTGGTGGTTGCTAGGAGATGTGTGCACCTCTTTAAAACTTTGATTTTATGCCTCAGGGCTTTTTTATTGAATGGCATGTTTTCAGGGTTGCGTTATATGAAAGGAAATCTTGAAATGCCCTCTGTGATGCCGTCACTATTTCCGAGGTGTTCGGTTGAAACAATCAATGGAGGAAGAGGAGTTTGAAATACGGTCGATGTAAGCAGCAACATTCCCTCGACCTTTGTTGTTCCCTCTGAGTGGCTTCCTGTCTGTGTCTATAGGTGTTTATGAAGAAGACAGCCAGTGGATGGTCCAGGTCAACAGGCTGCAGAGGCTCATCGACCGTCTAGAGAAAAAGGTTATCCTTCTATTTCCTCCTCCTGCCTCCTTCCTCTTCTTTCCATCTCAGTTCTTCCTCTCACTATCACGGCCATCTGGTCTTTACATTTATTTCTCAGAATAAACACTGATTAAGTGAACTTACATATTAACAAATGAACTCAACCACACCTCCCCGTACAAACACATACACACATATGTAGCGGTATGCGGGAGATATGGACTGCTTTCACACCTCTTAGAGCTACAATCTGCGTGTTTTGAACATCACATGGAAATATAAAATCTCATTCGATTAGTTTGATTGTCTGTTGTCAATTATTTGATTATTTTTTCGGACACATAATACATCTGGGAATAAGATTAATCTTAGGAGAAAGTTTAAAATATATACTTTTACTACACAGAGAGGTCATTTTGTCTTTTTATTTCTATTCTCTTTTTTTCTTGTGAATTACTGGCTGATAATTCTTTTTTAAGACTTTAACAATATTATATAAAACACAGGCAATAACATGACTCTTTATCTGAACAGTTGACAGTCTTCTCAACTCCCTGATATTTGTTTATCTTCACAAGTGATTTGATTGCTTTCTTGTGGTAATTACTTTCTTTCCATGTTGTTTGCTGACCAGCAGGTGATAATGATTTGAGCTGATTTCTGCCACTACAATAAATGCAAATGAGCACATTTTTAAGATTTAATAGCAAAACAACATGATGATTTGTGCAGGCACATACTAGAGGTAATATCTGAGCAACAAACCTCTACCTCTTGTGCCCAGACTGGTTCTCACTGTCCCTGTAGAAGGGAGTGGATCTTGGGCAGGCACTGACATTTGGAAACTATAAAAAGAAAAATGATCACATGGTCACCCTCGGTTCCTTTCATTTGTACCTTTCAAAACAGTCTGATCATTTTCGAACGTAACATTCTAATGGTTTGCATTTCTTCTGCTTCCAAGAGGCCGGTTATTAAGGGTTAAATACATTTAGTTAGCGTGCACAATGTGTCACTATCGGGCCATTGTATACATTTGTATCTGTTCTGCAGGAGATCCGCCTGGAGCCCGTTGAAGAGGAGGTGTTGGAGAGCAAATCGGTTAGTTTTCATTGACTTTAATTGACTTTTTTTCTGTTGCTGCTGCTGTGACCCTGTCTCTGTTCTCACATGGGAGATTTGTACTGATAATAACCACTCAGCAGTTGTCATAGCAACAGGAGGGCTGAAACCTGACTCCCTCTGCCACTCTCTTTCTTTGTAATATTTCTCTTAAAAACTCATTATTAGACGTACGTGTGAGCGACAGAGAGTTTATGAGTAAGCATGTCTGGGTATGTTCTAAAACATATATTTATGGATAAAACACTTTAATAACTCAACATACATGTGTGCATACCATGTGTGTAGACCTATACTGGCTACTTAAATATTCAAGGCTTGTGCTTGTTTACAGTGTGTGTATTTTTTTAATGTGTTTTATTCCCTGTGTAACCACTGCATCCTCATGCCAAAGCAAAGGGAGACTGTTATTTGTGCTCCCGCTTCATAGAGTATCACTCATTTCACGGCTGATAGACTCTGAATCCCTGACGACACAGCAGACACACTCAGGAGGATATCAGTGTGAGGTGGAAGAACATAGATAGTTAAATTGAGCTTCTTTTTTATAAATTACTTCCAAAAAAAGGAATCCTAACACCAATAATACCAGTAGTATTTTGGAAAATGATACAAAATTACATTATATTTAAGGCATGAAGATGGATACATATATATGTTACACAAATGAAAGGAGGTTTAGGTTACAGAGAGTAAAAAAGAAAAGTAAATGTGGGAGGTTAAGTTAAGTTGATGTTTTTAATGCTTCTCCGATCTGTAAATTAGAGGTGAACTGTGTTTTTAGTGCTGATGAGCTTATCTCCATGTTTGACTTGACATGTACCCTAATACTGGATTATGTTGCTCCTTTTACGCTTAGAAAGTTCTCTCAGAGCCGTGGCTCAATTACTGTACTCGTGCTCTCAGACGTGCTTGCAGGCGTGCAGAGAGAAAATGGAAAAGGGATAAACTCCATGTCTCCTTAGAAATCCTTCGTGCTTGCCTTTCCGACTACCAGACGGCAGTCAAGGCAGCCAAAACAGAGCACATTTCTCTGTTGATCTCCAAAAACAGCCATAAACCTCAGGTTCTTTTTAATGTCCTCAACTCGATCATTAATCCCTGTGATGTTTCTCCAATTGTGCCATTGACTACTCTCTGTGATAAGTTTCTTACATTTTTTATTGAAAAAGTATCTGCGCTTAGGCTAGCCCACACTAGTGCTACCCCAGATCCTGCTCCTTTTCTGTGCCCTGCTGTCCTCGACCACTTTGAGCCTGTATCCATCTCTTCTCTCTCGGATGTAGTCAAGCACCTGCAGCCGACAAACTGCACCTCAGACAGCATTCCCTCTCGCCTTCTCAGAGACGTCTTCGAATCAGTTGGAGCAAGTATTTTATTACTTATAAATACCTCTCTTAGCTCAGGATGTGTCCCAGCTGCCTTCAAACATGCCGTGGTCCAGCCACTACTTAAAAAGAAAAATCTCGACCCCTCCATTCTCGCAAATTTTAGGCCCATCTCCCAGCTACCTTTTTTATCTAAAGCCTTGGAGCGAGTAGTCTACGCCCAGCTGCAATCTTTTTTTAACCACACATGGCATCCACGAAAAGTTTCAGTCTGGCTTCAAACCCATGCACAGCACTGAAACAGCCCTTTTAAGAGTTTTTAATGATCTGCTCCTAGCCGCCGACTCAGGTAGCCCAGCTGTCCTGGTGCTGTTAGACCTGACAGCTGCCTTCGACACTGTGGACCATAGCATCCTGTTGTCACGGCTTTAACAGTCCGCAGGCATCACAGGCTCTGCCCTTGCATGGTTCAGGTCCTACCTGACGGACCGCAGCTTCTCAGTGCAGCTAGGTGCCGTCTCCTCTGCCAAAGCCCCTCTTACCTGTGGGGTTCCCCAAGGCTCGATTCTGGGCCCCATTCTTTTTCTACTGTACATACTTCCCCTAGGTTTTAATTGAACTATTCACATCTTAAACTGCACTGTAACTTTGATCCATGTCTTTGATCCATGTACTTTTTTCTTTTAATGTTTAATTGACTGCACTGTAACTTTTATCCATGTATTTTTTCTTTTAATGTTTATTTTATTAGCTTTTCTTTTTAATGACTGATTTTAAATGCCATTTTCTTAATCTCTTTCATTTTTTGTAAAGCACTTTGTATTGCCTTGTGTTGAAAAGTGCTATATAAATAAACTTGCCTTGCCTTGCCTTGCCTAGGTTAAATTCTCACAAAACACAACATCCCCTTCCACTGCCGACAATGTACAGATCTATCTGCCACTCAATTCAAATGTCAACTCATTACAGCTATTGATGGACTGCTTAGCAGAGATCAAATCCTGGCTGAGCCAAAATGTCCTCAACCTCAATGAGAGCAAGACTGAGGTTATCTTTTTTGGACCCCAACCTCCAGCCTCCCAGGTTGATATTCTGGGCTCCCTCAAAAATAATATCCTCCCCTCTGTCACGAACCTTGGAGTGACCTTCAATAGCGCTTTTAAATTTGAAAAGCAGGTCAGCAGCGTAGTCAAAACCTGCTTTTTTAAAACTGACTGTTGGCCAAGACCAAGTCGTTTTTATCTTTTAAAGACCTGGATAGGGTTATTAACGCCTTTGTTACCTCGAGGTTGGATTACTGCAATGCTCTGTACGTGGGTATAGACCAGGCGTCAATTAAACACCTGCAGCTAGTGCAGAACGCAGCTGCACGTCTACTTACTGGCCACAAAAAGCGTGACCACATCCACCCCAATTCTGGCCTCACTGCACTGGCTTCCAAAACGGTTCCGAATTGATTTTAAACTCCTTTTATTTGTTTTTAAAGCACTAAATGGGCTGGCTCCGGCCTATATAGCTGAACTCCTCCAGCGCTACACCCCAGCCAGAGCTTTAAGGTCTGCTGACCAGCTGCTGCTGATAGTGCCCAAGACCAGGCTCAAAACCCGAGGGCACCGAGCTTTCGCAGCAGCTGGCCCCAGGCTCTGGAACACTCTGCCCCTCCATGTGAGGTCGGCCCAGACCCTGGGTTTTTTTTAATCTACTCTTAAAACACACTTCTTCTCCCTGGCCTTTTAGTCAGAGCGGAGCACGACTCCTGACTTTTCCCTGTGTTTTTTATATATCTGTTGTAATTTATTGTCTTTTATTGTGATTGTAGTAATATGCTTTTATGTGATTGTAGTATTTATTACTAGTACAGCACTTTGGCCCAACCAAAAATCTCTTTTAAATGTGCTTTATAAATAAACTTTGATTTGATTTGATAAGTTGCCATTTCACATACAGTATTAATGGGGCCCTATTGTTCTCATTTTAGGGTTTCATAATCGTCAAATAAACATTATTTGAGTTAGATCGCAAACATAGTCTGAATCAGGTTTAGCTTGTTTAACCAAAACAGATGTATGTCTCAGAAACACAAACACAGTCTGACAGTAACAGAGTGCAGATGAGAGATTTTGTATTCTGTTATAGAGAGAATAGTTCACGTGGAACCATTCATTTCACATTCACTTGTAAAATCAATAGTTCGTTTTACAATATTTTACCAGAATTATCATATTACAGTAACACAAATTATATCATGCTTATAAATACTCAATTGAAGAGTCATGTCCCATCATGCAGACATCTGAGTGAGTGAATTAATCAATATGTAATTGGTGTGTGTCACTGGGAATACATGTGGTGCTGAGAGTAAATCACACGTGTGTGTGTGTGTGTGTGTGTGTGTGTGCGTGCGTGCGTGCGTGCATGCGTGCGTGCGTGCATGCGTGCGTGTGTAATGAATGAGTGTCTCCCCTACTGTGTGTGCGCATGTGTGTGTTTGTGTGCGTGTGTTTCTCCCAAAGTAACAAGTGTGAGAGAACATCCTCAGGCATTTTATCAGTCACACACAGTAAACACGCACACGCACACACACACGCACACGCACACACACACACACACAACTAGGCTAACAAGCAGACCATTCACTTCCTGTTCCCATCAGCCCTTCTGCCTCTGTCACAAACCTCCGCCGCAGGAAATGATTAGCAGGTTTTTTATTGTTATGATTATAGAAAGTCTCCTTGTTTCTCGTTTCCTGTCGTTGTATGTTCTGATACTAAAATATTTAATTTTAAGAGTGAGGAAATGTATCCCTGTCAGTATTTCTGATGGTCCTCCTCCGGCTCCAAATAGACTTTCTCTCCACCAGAAGCAAAACATGACCTTCTGACTGCAGTGACATAACACGTGTGTTTGTGTGTGTGTGTGTGTGTGTGTGTGTGTGTGTGTGTGTGTGTGTGTGTGTGTGTGTGTGTGTGTGTGTGTGTGTGTGTGTGTGTGTGTGTGTGTGTGTGTGTGTGTGTTGTGTTTTCTGTCTACACAGCACATCCTGATAGTCCAGAGGCAGCTGTCGGTGCTGGAGGACGAGCTGGAGGAGTTTCGTTTGGCTCTCAGACACGTACATGGACTGTGCCTGCGCCCAGACTGGATGTCTACAGTACAGTTCATATTATCTCTGTTCACTTTTGTATCACTAGGGATTTAGGACATGATGACGTGTGTATTTTTAACAGTCTTTGAAATATGCTTTACAAAGAGCAAACATGTGAATAAAAGATGCCTTCAAAAGGAAAAAGTATAAACAGTCCTCACAGAACAGTAAATGTATCTAGCATTTAAATAGGATATTATCTGTACACACATTTATTGCAATCATAAATAAAGGAATTACGCCACACAGGATGCAAATTGTCTGCTCACAGTCAGAGCGTGGAAACATTTCAGACGGAGAGGCAGTTCTCGGGGACATAATGTGGCACACTATTTAGTGATTGCGTGACTTGTGTTCTCCCCTGTTTTGCATTTCGCAGCATCGCAGTTCAGCGTCTTGCAAATGAATCACGCTTCATTCTCTATGAATTCTGGGAGCACAACAACGTGTGGAAGAAGTAAGTATTCACCTGCACACTATGCATCATGAATAGTTCAGCGTGGTCTGCTAAAAGAAAAACAGAGAGAAGTTTAGTGAAGATTTTATGCTTTAATGAAATGAAGTAAAGTATTATAGCAGCAGCAGGACAGAGAGGAATTCATGAAACTTGACTTTATATTTGTATCTGAGGTAGTCTAATGGCCATGTCTAGTTTGTTATTTCCATAATAGACATTCAAAATTAACTTAATGTCTCAATGATACCAAAATACTACGTGCTAGAACTTTACGGATAAATATTCTCTTTCAGAGGGGAAAGAAAACATATATATATATATTTAAATGCCCTTTGTTGAATATGACAATTTATCCCAACATGCAAGAAAATGCAGATTAGTGCACACAACCTACAAGTATTTTACTCATAACATTCAAAGTTTGGTAAAAATCGGAGTAAAATCCTCGATAATTTAATTCTTTAAGATCACTTTTATGTGTGAGAATAAATCGTTTATTTACTTTTTTTGAATAGCAAAATTGTTTCATGAATACGTAGATTTACAAACTACTGAAGACATCTGTAGGCCTATGCATCTTCTCTATGGATAGAGTGATAGAGTCTGTCTGTTTCCTCTGCACAGTCACCTGCAGACCAACTACAGTAAGACCTTCCAGAGGGGCAACGTGGATTTCCTGGAAACCCCTGAGAGCCTAAGCACCATGTTGGTTCCTGGTAAGAGCATTCATTAACGCTCCTGCTGATTCTCCACTGGCTTCACTCAAACACATCACATCCAACAAGATCAAGATAATATTCACCTGACTGGTCTTACACTTTTAAAGGGTAAACTCTTCAGCCTCAGGTGCCCTTTGGTACGTAACGTCTATCATCAATCACAAGACAAGCAGTGCAGACAAATGATCCTCAAAGACATTAGAGCGTCATTTTGAAGTCTTTTTTTCCAGTCAGGATGAAAAGTTTTCAAATAAACCAAAATGTTTGCTTCGAGATTGATTTGAGTATTACGTCTGTTAAATGTGCTTCGATGAAATGCTTCAATAAGCAGATAAACAATGTATGATTTGGATAGATTTGAGCTTAATGGTTTATTATTTACCTTGGGAGCAGTTTAACCAAGTATACAATAAAAAAAAAACAGAAATAAAAATGAAGCCCTTTTCTTGCTAAAGCGTTCCCGCTAAGGGTTTCTTCGTGATGATGTTCATTAGTTAATTAAAAAAGGAAATGTGTTTATATAACTTAAAGTTACCAATAGCAGTTATATTACTTTAAGCTACAATCTAACGTTTGTCTTTCTCCATCTAAACTGGGAAACTCTAGGGAAATGCCATGAGATGTGCTTGGTGTGTCAAATGATATCAGACCATTAGAAGGCCTTCTCAGTTTGTTGTTGATATGTTTGTGTTATTTCTCCTCCATCATTACATCAATTGATCCTAATTCTGCCTAACAAGCATCATTACCCTCTTCATTAAACCAGCCACTAGCAGCACAGAGGGCAAGCGAACATATTTGTCATGACATACCGGACACACAAATACACAAAATACACACAGTGGCAGAGGATAGCATGTTCAGTGTCTCATTAAAATCCTGCTTCTACTCCTCCAGCCTCATGGTGGGTCCTCACAACAACAACTGAAGATGGGATGAGAAACCATTACAGATCCTAACTGATGGGAAAAACCTGCCGACACCACACACACACACACCACCCACACACACACACACACACCACACACACACACACACACACAAACACACACACACACACACACACACACACACACACACACACACACACACACCACACACACAGTAACTCGTGAAGTTATGGTTATTAGTATTTATGACCTTTATTTTCCTTCATAGTTTTATATTTTAGTCTGAAATAGTCCAT